GTTTCTGATGCATGCCAATTAAGATTAACAAGCGAATTTGTACCCATCAAATTCCCTCGAAATCCATAGGTTTGAAGACGAGTAAGCATTTTAGCGGACCTATCAAGAGCTGAATGAACTAATTGACTGGAATCACCATGTTCAAGTGTTTTCATCCTACCAGGACACGCCATGGAGAACTCATCTTCCTCCTCTTCCTCTTCAGTAAATTCCATAGCTACACTTGCTCCTGATGCTGCTGCAAGATAAGTCAAGTCAGATTTTCCTGAGGGCGGAGATTTATCTAAAACATCTGACTTTGTAGGTGTTTCAGTTACTAATGACACACCTGATTGAAGCTGATAACATAGTGCATCTTGATCTTTAGGTGAATACAAGATTTCGGTATCATGGTTTGGTTCTTTCATAATCAATCCAGCAAAACTATCAGTTATTAAGCTGTTTGAATAATCTGAAATGCGATATTCAGGATCACATCGAAAAGCGGGATGACATGAGCCAGAAGTTTGCAAAACAATTTGACCATTGGTTATTGAAGAATCTTTACCAATAACGCCCTCCTCAGATACTTCCCGAATATCATGTGAATCCACTACATTTGCAGTGTCCTGAACAATAGATGGTAATCTATTGCTTGATCCAAGTTCATTTAATGATTTGTATTCATATCCCGATACAGCAAGAACTGAAGCTTCAGGTATAAAGAAAGGCACTGATTCTGCAGAAATATCATGTACTGAAGATATGCCAGCCTGTCGACAATCAGATAACTCTCCAAGACTTTCTCCAGAGTACGTAGTGAAACAAACGTCAGGAGCATCAACAGAAATGACGCTGTCTTCTATAACAAAGCTAGGAATTTCAGTGAAAGACTCCGATGAACGGGAAACAAATTGACTGAGACCGAGATATAAGCCTTCTGCAACAAACGCTGAATCATCGGAATCAAATAAAGACACAGAATCTAAAGGCATACGAGTAAAGTCAGAAACACCAGCATGAACAAAACGGGAGGAAGAAGAGGAAAAAGAAAGGTCGTTAGACACATTTGAGAGAACAAAAGAAGCAACAGGTGTAGAAGAAACATCATGACAAATTGTAATAGCATGAGAAGAAGAAAGCGAATCAGAGCACGAACTGACAACAGAAGGAAAAATAGCAGGTTGACGATCAGACAATGTAGGAACACAATGAAGATCGGCTAAATTATAGGTATAATCAGGATAACGGCTGGAAGAAGTATCAGAAAACGAAGAAACAGGGAAAGAATCACTTTCTCTAAATCTAGAATCACAAGGAGAATTAGAGGATGAAATGTCAACAGAGTGCAAATTATTAAAAAGATCCCGATCTAACTCACCAACGTGATCAAACAAACGTTCCCGTTCCGGTTGTGCTGCAGTCTCTGCAAGCGCCTCAGACTCCAATTCGACTGGAGCGAACACAGACACACGTTCCGATTCAACCTGTTCTACCGCTTCACTTTCTGCGTCCGCTTCAACTTGCCCCAATCTCTCACCGAACACTTCGACTGCCGACTCGGCTTCCGTCTCCCCTTCAAATACGCCTTCACCAACTTCACCATATTCCGCCTCCATCTCACCGACACGCTCAACCAATCGTTCCCGTTCCGGTTGTGCTGCAGTCTCTGCAAGCGCCTCAGACTCCAATTCGACTGGAGCGAACACAGACACACGTTCCGATTCAACCTGTTCTACCGCTTCACTTTCTGCGTCCGCTTCAACTTGCCCCAATCTCTCACCGAACACTTCGACTGCCGACTCGGCTTCCGTCTCCCCTTCAAATACGCCTTCACCAACTTCACCATATTCCGCCTCCATCTCACCGACGCGCTCAACCAATCGTTCCCGTTCCGGTTGTGCTGCAGTCTCTGCAAGCGCCTCAGACTCCAATTCGACTGGAGCGAACACAGACACACGTTCCGATTCAACCTGTTCTACCGCTTCACTTTCTGCGTCCGCTTCAACTTGCCCCAATCTCTCACCGAACACTTCGACTGCCGACTCGGCTTCCGTCTCCCCTTCAAATACGCCTTCACCAACTTCACCATATTCCGCCTCCATCTCACCGACACGCTCAACCAATCGTTCCCGTTCCGGTTGTGCTGCAGTCTCTGCAAGCGCCTCAGACTCCAATTCGACTGGAGCGAACACAGACACACGTTCCGATTCAACCTGTTCTACCGCTTCACTTTCTGCGTCCGCTTCAACTTGCCCCAATCTCTCACCGAACACTTCGACTGCCGACTCGGCTTCCGTCTCCCCTTCAAATACGCCTTCACCAACTTCACCATATTCCGCCTCCATCTCACCGACACGCTCAACCAATCGTTCCCGTTCCGGTTGTGCTGCAGTCTCTGCAAGCGCCTCAGACTCCAATTCGACTGGAGCGAACACAGACACACGTTCCGATTCAACCTGTTCTACCGCTTCACTTTCTGCGTCCGCTTCAACTTGCCCCAATCTCTCACCGAACACTTCGACTGCCGACTCGGCTTCCGTCTCCCCTTCAAATACGCCTTCACCAACTTCACCATATTCCGCCTCCATCTCACCGACACGCTCAACCAATCGTTCCCGTTCCGGTTGTGCTGCAGTCTCTGCAAGCGCCTCAGACTCCAATTCGACTGGAGCGAACACAGACACACGTTCCGATTCAACCTGTTCTACCGCTTCACTTTCTGCGTCCGCTTCAACTTGCCCCAATCTCTCACCGAACACTTCGACTGCCGACTCGGCTTCCGTCTCCCCTTCAAATACGCCTTCACCAACTTCACCATATTCCGCCTCCATCTCACCGACACGCTCAACCAATCGTTCCCGTTCCGGTTGTGCTGCAGTCTCTGCAAGCGCCTCAGACTCCAATTCGACTGGAGCGAACACAGACACACGTTCCGATTCAACCTGTTCTACCGCTTCACTTTCTGCGTCCGCTTCAACTTGCCCCAATCTCTCACCGAACACTTCGACTGCCGACTCGGCTTCCGTCTCCCCTTCAAATACGCCTTCACCAACTTCACCATATTCCGCCTCCATCTCACCGACACGCTCAACCAATCGTTCCCGTTCCGGTTGTGCTGCAGTCTCTGCAAGCGCCTCAGACTCCAATTCGACTGGAGCGAACACAGACACACGTTCCGATTCAACCTGTTCTACCGCTTCACTTTCTGCGTCCGCTTCAACTTGCCCCAATCTCTCACCGAACACTTCGACTGCCGACTCGGCTTCCGTCTCCCCTTCAAATACGCCTTCACCAACTTCACCATATTCCGCCTCCATCTCACCGACACGCTCAACCAATCGTTCCCGTTCCGGTTGTGCTGCAGTCTCTGCAAGCGCCTCAGACTCCAATTCGACTGGAGCGAACACAGACACACGTTCCGATTCAACCTGTTCTACCGCTTCACTTTCTGCGTCCGCTTCAACTTGCCCCAATCTCTCACCGAACACTTCGACTGCCGACTCGGCTTCCGTCTCCCCTTCAAATACGCCTTCACCAACTTCACCATATTCCGCCTCCATCTCACCGACACGCTCAACCAATCGTTCCCGTTCCGGTTGTGCTGCAGTCTCTGCAAGCGCCTCAGACTCCAATTCGACTGGAGCGAACACAGACACACGTTCCGATTCAACCTGTTCTACCGCTTCACTTTCTGCGTCCGCTTCAACTTGCCCCAATCTCTCACCGAACACTTCGACTGCCGACTCGGCTTCCGTCTCCCCTTCAAATACGCCTTCACCAACTTCACCATATTCCGCCTCCATCTCACCGACACGCTCAACCAATCGTTCCCGTTCCGGTTGTGCTGCAGTCTCTGCAAGCGCCTCAGACTCCAATTCGACTGGAGCGAACACAGACACACGTTCCGATTCAACCTGTTCTACCGCTTCACTTTCTGCGTCCGCTTCAACTTGCCCCAATCTCTCACCGAACACTTCGACTGCCGACTCGGCTTCCGTCTCCCCTTCAAATACGCCTTCACCAACTTCACCATATTCCGCCTCCATCTCACCGACACGCTCAACCAATCGTTCCCGTTCCGGTTGTGCTGCAGTCTCTGCAAGCGCCTCAGACTCCAATTCGACTGGAGCGAACACAGACACACGTTCCGATTCAACCTGTTCTACCGCTTCACTTTCTGCGTCCGCTTCAACTTGCCCCAATCTCTCACCGAACACTTCGACTGCCGACTCGGCTTCCGTCTCCCCTTCAAATACGCCTTCACCAACTTCACCATATTCCGCCTCCATCTCACCGACACGCTCAACCAATCGTTCCCGTTCCGGTTGTGCTGCAGTCTCTGCAAGCGCCTCAGACTCCAATTCGACTGGAGCGAACACAGACACACGTTCCGATTCAACCTGTTCTACCGCTTCACTTTCTGCGTCCGCTTCAACTTGCCCCAATCTCTCACCGAACACTTCGACTGCCGACTCGGCTTCCGTCTCCCCTTCAAATACGCCTTCACCAACTTCACCATATTCCGCCTCCATCTCACCGACACGCTTCAACCAATCGTTCCCGTTCCGGTTGTGCTGCAGTCTCTGCAAGCGCCTCAGACTCCAATTCGACTGAGCGAACACAGACACACGTTCCGATTCAACCTGTTCTACCGCTTCACTTTCTGCGTCCGCTTCAACTTGCCCCAATCTCTCACCGAACACTTCGACTGCCGACTCGGCTTCCGTCTCCCCTTCAAATACGCCTTCACCAACTTCACCATATTCCGCCTCCATCTCCACCGACACGCTCAACCATCGTTCCCGTTCCGGTTGTGCTGCAGTCTCTGCAAGCGCCTCAGACTCCAATTCGACTGGAGCGAACACAGACACACGTTCCGATTCAACCTGTTCTACCGCTTCACTTTCTGCGTCCGCTTCAACTTGCCCCAATCTCTCACCGAACACTTCGACTGCCGACTCGGCTTCCGTCTCCCCTTCAAATACGCCTTCACCACTTCACCATATTCCGCCTCCATCTCACCCGACACGCTCAACCAATCGTTCCCGTTCCGGTTGTGCTGCAGTCTCTGCAAGCGCCTCAGACTCCAATTCGACTGGAGCGAACACAGACACACGTTCCGATTCAACCTGTTCTACCGCTTCACTTTCTGCGTCCGCTTCAACTTGCCCCAATCTCTCACCGAACACTTCGACTGCCGACTCGGCTTCCGTCTCCCCTTCAAATACGCCTTCACCAACTTCACCATATTCCGCCTCCATCTCACCGACACGCTCAACCAATCGTTCCCGTTCCGGTTGTGCTGCAGTCTCTGCAAGCGCCTCAGACTCCAATTCGACTGGAGCGAACACAGACACACGTTCCGATTCAACCTGTTCTACCGCTTCACTTTCTGCGTCCGCTTCAACTTGCCCCAATCTCTCACCGAACACTTCGACTGCCGACTCGGCTTCCGTCTCCCCTTCAAATACGCCTTCACCAACTTCACCATATTCCGCCTCCATCTCACCGACACGCTCAACCAATCGTTCCCGTTCCGGTTGTGCTGCAGTCTCTGCAAGCGCCTCAGACTCCAATTCGACTGGAGCGAACACAGACACACGTTCCGATTCAACCTGTTCTACCGCTTCACTTTCTGCGTCCGCTTCAACTTGCCCCAATCTCTCACCGAACACTTCGACTGCCGACTCGGCTTCCGTCTCCCCTTCAAATACGCCTTCACCAACTTCACCATATTCCGCCTCCATCTCACCGACACGCTCAACCAATCGTTCCCGTTCCGGTTGTGCTGCAGTCTCTGCAAGCGCCTCAGACTCCAATTCGACTGGAGCGAACACAGACACACGTTCCGATTCAACCTGTTCTACCGCTTCACTTTCTGCGTCCGCTTCAACTTGCCCCAATCTCTCACCGAACACTTCGACTGCCGACTCGGCTTCCGTCTCCCCTTCAAATACGCCTTCACCAACTTCACCATATTCCGCCTCCATCTCACCGACACGCTCAACCAATCGTTCCCGTTCCGGTTGTGCTGCAGTCTCTGCAAGCGCCTCAGACTCCAATTCGACTGGAGCGAACACAGACACACGTTCCGATTCAACCTGTTCTACCGCTTCACTTTCTGCGTCCGCTTCAACTTGCCCCAATCTCTCACCGAACACTTCGACTGCCGACTCGGCTTCCGTCTCCCCTTCAAATACGCCTTCACCAACTTCACCATATTCCGCCTCCATCTCACCGACACGCTCAACCAATCGTTCCCGTTCCGGTTGTGCTGCAGTCTCTGCAAGCGCCTCAGACTCCAATTCGACTGGAGCGAACACAGACACACGTTCCGATTCAACCTGTTCTACCGCTTCACTTTCTGCGTCCGCTTCAACTTGCCCCAATCTCTCACCGAACACTTCGACTGCCGACTCGGCTTCCGTCTCCCCTTCAAATACGCCTTCACCAACTTCACCATATTCCGCCTCCATCTCACCGACACGCTCAACCAATCGTTCCCGTTCCGGTTGTGCTGCAGTCTCTGCAAGCGCCTCAGACTCCAATTCGACTGGAGCGAACACAGACACACGTTCCGATTCAACCTGTTCTACCGCTTCACTTTCTGCGTCCGCTTCAACTTGCCCCAATCTCTCACCGAACACTTCGACTGCCGACTCGGCTTCCGTCTCCCCTTCAAATACGCCTTCACCAACTTCACCATATTCCGCCTCCATCTCACCGACACGCTCAACCAATCGTTCCCGTTCCGGTTGTGCTGCAGTCTCTGCAAGCGCCTCAGACTCCAATTCGACTGGAGCGAACACAGACACACGTTCCGATTCAACCTGTTCTACCGCTTCACTTTCTGCGTCCGCTTCAACTTGCCCCAATCTCTCACCGAACACTTCGACTGCCGACTCGGCTTCCGTCTCCCCTTCAAATACGCCTTCACCAACTTCACCATATTCCGCCTCCATCTCACCGACACGCTCAACCAATCGTTCCCGTTCCGGTTGTGCTGCAGTCTCTGCAAGCGCCTCAGACTCCAATTCGACTGGAGCGAACACAGACACACGTTCCGATTCAACCTGTTCTACCGCTTCACTTTCTGCGTCCGCTTCAACTTGCCCCAATCTCTCACCGAACACTTCGACTGCCGACTCGGCTTCCGTCTCCCCTTCAAATACGCCTTCACCAACTTCACCATATTCCGCCTCCATCTCACCGACACGCTCAACCAATCGTTCCCGTTCCGGTTGTGCTGCAGTCTCTGCAAGCGCCTCAGACTCCAATTCGACTGGAGCGAACACAGACACACGTTCCGATTCAACCTGTTCTACCGCTTCACTTTCTGCGTCCGCTTCAACTTGCCCCAATCTCTCACCGAACACTTCGACTGCCGACTCGGCTTCCGTCTCCCCTTCAAATACGCCTTCACCAACTTCACCATATTCCGCCTCCATCTCACCGACACGCTCAACCAATCGTTCCCGTTCCGGTTGTGCTGCAGTCTCTGCAAGCGCCTCAGACTCCAATTCGACTGGAGCGAACACAGACACACGTTCCGATTCAACCTGTTCTACCGCTTCACTTTCTGCGTCCGCTTCAACTTGCCCCAATCTCTCACCGAACACTTCGACTGCCGACTCGGCTTCCGTCTCCCCTTCAAATACGCCTTCACCAACTTCACCATATTCCGCCTCCATCTCACCGACACGCTCAACCAATCGTTCCCGTTCCGGTTGTGCTGCAGTCTCTGCAAGCGCCTCAGACTCCAATTCGACTGGAGCGAACACAGACACACGTTCCGATTCAACCTGTTCTACCGCTTCACTTTCTGCGTCCGCTTCAACTTGCCCCAATCTCTCACCGAACACTTCGACTGCCGACTCGGCTTCCGTCTCCCCTTCAAATACGCCTTCACCAACTTCACCATATTCCGCCTCCATCTCACCGACACGCTCAACCAATCGTTCCCGTTCCGGTTGTGCTGCAGTCTCTGCAAGCGCCTCAGACTCCAATTCGACTGGAGCGAACACAGACACACGTTCCGATTCAACCTGTTCTACCGCTTCACTTTCTGCGTCCGCTTCAACTTGCCCCAATCTCTCACCGAACACTTCGACTGCCGACTCGGCTTCCGTCTCCCCTTCAAATACGCCTTCACCAACTTCACCATATTCCGCCTCCATCTCACCGACACGCTCAACCAATCGTTCCCGTTCCGGTTGTGCTGCAGTCTCTGCAAGCGCCTCAGACTCCAATTCGACTGGAGCGAACACAGACACACGTTCCGATTCAACCTGTTCTACCGCTTCACTTTCTGCGTCCGCTTCAACTTGCCCCAATCTCTCACCGAACACTTCGACTGCCGACTCGGCTTCCGTCTCCCCTTCAAATACGCCTTCACCAACTTCACCATATTCCGCCTCCATCTCACCGACACGCTCAACCAATCGTTCCCGTTCCGGTTGTGCTGCAGTCTCTGCAAGCGCCTCAGACTCCAATTCGACTGGAGCGAACACAGACACACGTTCCGATTCAACCTGTTCTACCGCTTCACTTTCTGCGTCCGCTTCAACTTGGCCCAATCTCTCACCGAACACTTCGACTGCCGACTCGGCTTCCGTCTCCCCTTCAAATACGCCTTCACCAACTTCACCATATTCCGCCTCCATCTCACCGACACGCTCAACCAATCGTTCCCGTTCCGGTTGTGCTGCAGTCTCTGCAAGCGCCTCAGACTCCAATTCGACTGGAGCGAACACAGACACACGTTCCGATTCAACCTGTTCTACCGCTTCACTTTCTGCGTCCGCTTCAACTTGCCCCAATCTCTCACCGAACACTTCGACTGCCGACTCGGCTTCCGTCTCCCCTTCAAATACGCCTTCACCAACTTCACCATATTCCGCCTCCATCTCACCGACACGCTCAACCAATCGTTCCCGTTCCGGTTGTGCTGCAGTCTCTGCAAGCGCCTCAGACTCCAATTCGACTGGAGCGAACACAGACACACGTTCCGATTCAACCTGTTCTACCGCTTCACTTTCTGCGTCCGCTTCAACTTGCCCCAATCTCTCACCGAACACTTCGACTGCCGACTCGGCTTCCGTCTCCCCTTCAAATACGCCTTCACCAACTTCACCATATTCCGCCTCCATCTCACCGACACGCTCAACCAATCGTTCCCGTTCCGGTTGTGCTGCAGTCTCTGCAAGCGCCTCAGACTCCAATTCGACTGGAGCGAACACAGACACACGTTCCGATTCAACCTGTTTCTACCGCTTCACTTTCTGCGTCCGCTTCAACTTGCCCCAATCTCTCACCGAACACTTCGACTGCCGACTCGGCTTCCGTCTCCCCTTCAAATACGCCTTCACCAACTTCACCATATTCCGCCTCCATCCTCACCGACACGCTCAACCAATCGTTCCCGTTCCGGTTGTGCTGCAGTCTCTGCAAGCGCCTCAGACTCCAATTCGACTGGAGCGAACACAGACACACGTTCCGATTCAACCTGTTCTACCGCTTCACTTTCTGCGTCCGCTTCAACTTGCCCCAATCTCTCACCGAACACTTCGACTGCCGACTCGGCTTCCGTCTCCCCTTCAAATACGCCTTCACCAACTTCACCATATTCCGACCTCCATCTCACCGACACGCTCAACCAATCGTTCCCGTTCCGGTTGTGCTGCAGTCTCTGCAAGCGCCTCAGACTCCAATTCGACTGGAGCGAACACAGACACACGTTCCGATTCAACCTGTTCTACCGCTTCACTTTCTGCGTCCGCTTCAACTTGCCCCAATCTCTCACCGAACACTTCGACTGCCGACTCGGCTTCCGTCTCCCCTTCAAATACGCCTTCACCAACTTCACCATATTCCGCCTCCATCTCACCGACACGCTCAACCAATCGTTCCCGTTTCCGGTTGTGCTGCAGTCTCTGCAAGCGCCTCAGACTCCAATTCGACTGGAGCGAACACAGACACACGTTCCGATTCAACCTGTTCTACCGCTTCACTTTCTGCGTCCGCTTCAACTTGCCCAATCTCTCACCGAACACTTCGACTGCCGACTCGGCTTCCGTCTCCCCTTCAAATACGCCTTCACCAACTTCACCATATTCCGCCTCCATCTCACCGACACGCTCAACCAATCGTTCCCGTTCCGGTTGTGCTGCAGTCTCTGCAAGCGCCTCAGACTCCAATTCGACTGGAGCGAACACAGACACACGTTCCGATTCAAACCTGTTCTACCGCTTCACTTTCTGCGTCCGCTTCAACTTGCCCCAATCTCTCACCGAACACTTCGACTGCCGACTCGGCTTCCGTCTCCCCTTCAAATACGCCTTCACCAACTTCACCATATTCCGCCTCCATCTCACCGACACGCTCAACCAATCGTCCCGTTCCGGTTGTGCTGCAGTCTCTGCAAGCGCCTCAGACTCCAATTCGACTGGAGCGAACACAGACACACGTTCCGATTCAACCTGTTCTACCGCTTCACTTCTGCGTCCGCTTCAACTTGCCCCAATCTCTCACCGAACACTTCGACTGCCGACTCGGCTTCCGTCTCCCCTTCAAATACGCCTTCACCAACTTCACCATATTCCGCCTCCATCTCACCGACACGCTCAACCAATCGTTCCCGTTCCGGTTGTGCTGCAGTCTCTGCAAGCGCCTCAGACTCCAATTCGACTGGAGCGAACACAGACACACGTTCCGATTCAACCTGTTCTACCGCTTCACTTTCTGCGTCCGCTTCAACTTGCCCCAATCTCTCACCGAACACTTCGACTGCCGACTCGGCTTCCGTCTCCCCTTCAATTACGCCTTCACCAACTTCACCATATTCCGCCTCCATCTCACCGACACGCTCAACCAATCGTTCCCGTTCCGGTTGTGCTGCAGTCTCTGCAAGCGCCTCAGACTCCAATTCGACTGGAGCGAACACAGACACACGTTCCGATTCAACCTGTTCTACCGCTTCACTTTCTGCGTCCGCTTCAACTTGCCCCAATCTCTCACCGAACACTTCGACTGCCGACTCGGCTTCCGTCTCCCCTTCAAATACGCCTTCACCAACTTCACCCATATTCCGCCTCCATCTCACCGACACGCTCAACCAATCGTTCCCGTTCCGGTTGTGCTGCAGTCTCTGCAAGCGCCTCAGACTCCAATTCGACTGGAGCGAACACAGACACACGTTCCGATTCAACCTGTTCTACCGCTTCACTTTCTGCGTCCGCTTCAACTTGCCCCAATCTCTCACCGAACACTTCGACTGCCGACTCGGCTTCCGTCTCCCCTTCAAATACGCCTTCACCAACTTCACCATATTCCGCCTCCATCTCACCGACACGCTCAACCAATCGTTCCCGTTCCGGTTGTGCTGCAGTCTCTGCAAGCGCCTCAGACTCCAATTCGACTGGAGCGAACACAGACACACGTTCCGATTCAACCTGTTCTACCGCTTCACTTTCTGCGTCCGCTTCAACTTGCCCCAATCTCTCACCGAACACTTCGACTGCCGACTCGGCTTCCGTCTCCCCTTCAAATACGCCTTCACCAACTTCACCATATTCCGCCTCCATCTCACCGACACGCTCAACCAATCGTTCCCGTTCCGGTTGTGCTGCAGTCTCTGCAAGCGCCTCAGACTCCAATTCGACTGGAGCGAACACAGACACACGTTCCGATTCAACCTGTTCTACCGCTTCACTTTCTGCGTCCGCTTCAACTTGCCCCAATCTCTCACCGAACACTTCGACTGCCGACTCGGCTTCCGTCTCCCCTTCAAATACGCCTTCACCAACTTCACCATATTCCGCCTCCATCTCACCGACACGCTCAACCAATCGTTCCCGTTCCGGTTGTGCTGCAGTCTCTGCAAGCGCCTCAGACTCCAGTTCGGACTGGAGCGAACACAGACACACGTTCCGATTCAACCTGTTCTACCGCTTCACTTTCTGCGTCCGCTTCAACTTGCCCCAATCTCTCACCGAACACTTCGACTGCCGACTCGGCTTCCGTCTCCCTTCAAATACGCCTTCACCAACTTCACCATATTCCGCCTCCATCTCACCGACACGCTCAACCAATCGTTCCCGTTCCGGTTGTGCTGCAGTCTCTGCAAGCGCCTCAGACTCCAATTCGACTGGAGCGAACACAGACACACGTTCCGATTCAACCTGTTCTACCGCTTCACTTTCTGCGTCCGCTTCAACTTGCCCCAATCTCTCACCGAACACTTCGACTGCCGACTCGGCTTCCGTCTCCCCTTCAAATACGCCTTCACCAACTTCACCATATTCCGCCTCCATCTCACCGACACGCTCAACCAATCGTTCCCGTTCCGGTTGTGCTGCAGTCTCTGCAAGCGCCTCAGACTCCAATTCGACTGGAGCGAACACAGACACACGTTCCGATTCAACCTGTTCTACCGCTTCACTTTCTGCGTCCGCTTCAACTTGCCCCAATCTCTCACCGAACACTTCGACTGCCGACTCGGCTTCCGTCTCCCCTTCAAATACGCCTTCACCAACTTCACCATATTCCGCCTCCATCTCACCGACACGCTCAACCAATCGTTCCCGTTCCGGTTGTGCTGCAGTCTCTGCAAGCGCCTCAGACTCCAATTCGACTGGAGCGAACACAGACACACGTTCCGATTCAACCTGTTCTACCGCTTCACTTTCTGCGTCCGCTTCAACTTGCCCCAATCTCTCACCGAACACTTCGACTGCCGACGCGGCTTCCGTCTCCCCTTCAAATACGCCTTCACCAACTTCACTATATTCCGCCTCCATCTCACCGACACGCTCAACCAATCGTTCCCGTTCCGGTTGTGCTGCAGTCTCTGCAAGCGCCTCAGACTCCAATTCGACTGGAGACGGGAGCGAACACAGACACACGTTCCGATTCAACCTGTTCTACCGCTTCACTTTCTGCGTCCGCTTCAACTTGCCCCAATCTCTCACCGAACACTTCGACTGCCGACTCGGCTTCCGTCTCCCCTTCAAATACGCCTTCACCAACTTCACCATATTCCGCCTCCATCTCACCGACACGCTCAACCAATCGTTCCCGTTCCGGTTGTGCTGCAGTCTCTGCAAGCGCCTCAGACTCCAATTCGACTGGAGCGAACACAGACACACGTTCCGATTCAACCTGTTCTACCGCTTCACTTTCTGCGTCCGCTTCAACTTGCCCCAATCTCTCACCGAACACTTCGACTGCCGACTCGGCTTCCGTCTCCCCTTCAAATACGCCTTCACCAACTTCACCATATTCCGCCTCCATCTCACCGACACGCTCAACCAATCGTTCCCGTTCCGGTTGTGCTGCAGTCTCTGCAAGCGCCTCAGACTCCAATTCGACTGGAGCGAACACAGACACACGTTCCGATTCAACCTGTTCTACCGCTTCACTTTCTGCGTCCGCTTCAACTTGCCCCAATCTCTCACCGAACACTTCGACTGCCGACTCGGCTTCCGTCTCCCCTTCAAATACGCCTTCACCAACTTCACCATATTCCGCCTCCATCTCACCGACACGCTCAACCAATCGTTCCCGTTCCGGTTGTGCTGCAGTCTCTGCAAGCGCCTCAGACTCCAATTCGACTGGAGCGAACACAGACACACGTTCCGATTCAACCTGTTCTACCGCTTCACTTTCTGCGTCCGCTTCAACTTGCCCCAATCTCTCACCGAACACTTCGACTGCCGACTCGGCTTCCGTCTCCCCTTCAAATACGCCTTCACCAACTTCACCATATTCCGCCTCCATCTCACCGACACGCTCAACCAATCGTTCCCGTTCCGGTTGTGCTGCAGTCTCTGCAAGCGCCTCAGACTCCAATTCGACTGGAGCGAACACAGACACACGTTCCGATTCAACCTGTTCTACCGCTTCACTTTCTGCGTCCGCTTCAACTTGCCCCAATCTCTCACCGACCACTTCGACTGCCGACTCGGCTTCCGTCTCCCCTTCAAATACGCCTTCACCAACTGCACCATATTCCGCCTCCATCTCACCGACACGCTCAACCAATCGTTCCCGTTCCGGTTGTGCTGCAGTCTCTGCAAGCGCTCAGACTCCAATTCGACTGGAGCGAACACAGACACACGTTCCGATTCAACCTGTTCTACCGCTTCACTTTCTGCGTCCGCTTCAACTTGCCCCAATCTCTCACCGAACACTTCGACTGCCGACTCGGCTTCCGTCTCCCCTTCAAATACGCCTTCACCAACTTCACCATATTCCGCCTCCATCTCACCGACACGCTCAACCAATCGTTCCCGTTCCGGTTGTGCTGCAGTCTCTGCAAGCGCCTCAGACTCCAATTCGACTGGAGCGAACACAGACACACGTTCCGATTCAACCTGTTCTACCGCTTCACTTTCTGCGTCCGCTTCAACTTGCCCCAATCTCTCACCGAACACTTCGACTGCCGACTCGGCTTCCGTCTCCCCTTCAAATACGCCTTCACCAACTTCACCATATTCCGCCTCCATCTCACCGACACGCTCAACCAATCGTTCCCGTTCCGGTTGTGCTGCAGTCTCTGCAAGCGCCTCAGACTCCAATTCGACTGGAGCGAACACAGACACACGTTCCGATTCAACCTGTTCTACCGCTTCACTTTCTGCGGTCGCTTCACCTTGCCCCAATCTCTCACCGAACACTTCGACTGCCGACTCGGCTTCCGTCTCCCCTTCAAATATCCGCTTCAACTTGCCCCAATCTCTCACCGAACACTTCGACTGCCGACTCGGCTTCCGTCTCCCTTCAAATCGCCTTCACCAACTTCACCATATTCCGCCTCCATCTCACCGACACGCTCAACCAATCGTTCCCGTTCCGGTTGTGCTGCAGTCTCTGCAAGCGCCTCAGACTCCAAGAGGACTGGAGCGAACACAGACACACGTTCCGATTCAACCTGTTCTACCGCTTCACTTTCTGCGTCCGCTTCAACTTGCCCCAATCTCTCACCGAACACTTCGACTGCCGACTCGGCTTCCGTCTCCCCTTCAAATACGCCTTCACCAACTTCACCATATTCCGCCTCCATCTCACCGACACGCTCAACCAATCGTTCCCGTTCCGGTTGTGCTGCAGTCTCTGCAAGCGCCTCAGACTCCAATTCGACTGGAGCGAACACAGACACACGTTCCGATTCAACCTGTTCTACCGCTTCACTTTCTGCGTCCGCTTCAACTTGCCCCAATCTCTCACCGAACACTTCGACTGCCGACTCGGCTTCCGTCTCCCCTTCAAATACGCCTTCACCAACTTCACCATATTCCGCCTCCATCTCACCGACACGCTCAACCAATCGTTCCCGTTCCGGTTGTGCTGCAGTCTCTGCAAGCGCCTCAGACTCCAATTCGACTGGAGCGAACACAGACACACGTTCCGATTCAACCTGTTCTACCGCTTCACTTTCTGCGTCCGCTTCAACTTGCCCCAATCTCTCACCGAACACTTCGACTGCCGACTCGGCTTCCGTCTCCCCTTCAAATACGCCTTCACCAACTTCACCATATTCCGCCTCCATCTCACCGACACGCTCAACCAATCGTTCCCGTTCCGGTTGTGCTGCAGTCTCTGCAAGCGCCTCAGACTCCAATTCGACTGGAGCGAACACAGGACACACGTTCCGATTCAACCTGTTCTACCGCTTCACTTTCTGCGTCCGCTTCAACTTGCCCCAATCTCTCACCGAACACTTCGACTGCCGACTCGGCTTCCGTCTCCCCTTCAAATACGCCTTCACCAACTTCACCATATTCCGCCTCCATCTCACCGACACGCTCAACCAATCGTTCCCGTTCCGGTTGTGCTGCAGTCTCTGCAAGCGCCTCAGACTCCAATTCGACTGGAGCGAACACAGACACACGTTCCGATTCAACCTGTTCTACCGCTTCACTTTCTGCGTCCGCTTCAACTTGCCCCAATCTCTCACCGAACACTTCGACTGCCGACTCGGCTTCCGTCTCCCCTTCAAATACGCCTTCACCAACTTCACCATATTCCGCCTCCATCTCACCGACACGCTCAACCAATCGTTTCCCGTTCCGGTTGTGCTGCAGTCTCTGCAAGCGCCTCAGACTCCAATTCGACTGGAGCGAACACAGACACACGTTCCGATTCAACCTGTTCTACCGCTTCACTTTCTGCGTCCGCTTCAACTTGCCCCAATCTCTCACCGAACACTTCGACTGCCGACTCGGCTTCCGTCTCCCCTTCAAATACGCCTTCACCAACTTCACCATATTCCGCCTCCATCTCACCGACACGCTCAACCAATCGTTCCGTTCCGGTTGTGCTGCAGTCTCTGCAAGCGCCTCAGACTCCAATTCGACTGGAGCGAACACAGACACACGTTCCGATTCAACCTGTTCTACCGCTTCACTTTCTGCGTCCGCTTCAACTTGCCCCAATCTCTCACCGAACACTTCGACTGCCGACTCGGCTTCCGTCTCCCCTTCAAATACGCCTTCACCAACTTCACCATATTCCGCCTCCATCTCACCGACACGCTCAACCAATCGTTCCCGTTCCGGTTGTGCTGCAGTCTCTGCAAGCGCCTCAGACTCCAATTCGACTGGAGCGAACACAGACACACGTTCCGATTCAACCTGTTCTACCGCTTCACTATCTGCGTCCGCTTCAACTTGCCCCAATCTCTCACCGAACACTTCGACTGCCGACTCGGCTTCCGTCTCCCCTTCAAATACGCCTTCACCAACTTCACCATATTCCGCCTCCATCTCACCGACACGCTCAACCAATCGTTCCCGTTCCGGTTGTGCTGCAGTCTCTGCAAGCGCCTCAGACTCCAATTCGACTGGAGCGAACACAGACACACGTTCCGATTCAACCTGTTCTACCGCTTCACTTTCTGCGTCCGCTTCAACTTGCCCCAATCTCTCACCGAACACTTCGACTGCCGACTCGGCTTCCGTCTCCCCTTCAAATACGCCTTCACCAACTTCACCATATTCCGCCTCCATCTCACCGACACGCTCAACCAATCGTTCCCGTTCCGGTTGTGCTGCAGTCTCTGCAAGCGCCTCAGACTCCAATTCGACTGGAGCGAACACAGACACACGTTCCGATTCAACCTGTTCTACCGCTTCACTTTCTGCGTCCGCTTCAACTTGCCCCAATCTCTCACCGAACACTTCGACTGCCGACTCGGCTTCCGTCTCCCCTTCAAATACGCCTTCACCAACTTCACCATATTCCGCCTCCATCTCACCGACACGCTCAACCAATCGTTCCCGTTCCGGTTGTGCTGCAGTCTCTGCAAGCGCCTCAGACTCCAATTCGACTGGAGCGAACACAGACACACGTTCCGATTCAACCTGTTCTACCGCTTCACTTTCTGCGTCCGCTTCAACTTGCCCCAATCTCTCACCGAACACTTCGACTGCCGACTCGGCTTCCGTCTCCCCTTCAAATACGCCTTCACCAACTTCACCATATTCCGCCTCCATCTCACCGACACGCTCAACCAATCGTTCCCGTTCCGGTTGTGCTGCAGTCTCTGCAAGCGCCTCAGACTCCAATTCGACTGGAGCGAACACAGACACACGTTCCGATTCAACCTGTTCTACCGCTTCACTTTCTGCGTCCGCTTCAACTTGCCCCAATCTCTCACCGAACACTTCGACTGCCGACTCGGCTTCCGTCTCCCCTTCAATACGCCTTCACCAACTTCACCATATTCCGCCTCCATCTCACCGACACGCTCAACCAATCGTTCCCGTTCCGGTTGTGCTGCAGTCTCTGCAAGCGCCTCAGACTCCAATTCGACTGGAGCGAACACAGACACACGTTCCGATTCAACCTGTTCTACCGCTTCACTTTCTGCGTCCGCTTCAACTTGCCCCAATCTCTCACCGAACACTTCGACTGCCCACTCGGCTTCCGTCTCCCCTTCAAATACGCCTTCACCAACTTCACCATATTCCGCCTCCATCTCACCGACACGCTCAACCAATCGTTCCCGTTCCGGTTGTGCTGCAGTCTCTGCAAGCGCCTCAGACTCCAATTCGACTGGAGCGAACACAGACACACGTTCCGATTCAACCTGTTCTACCGCTTCACTTTCTGCGTCCGCTTCAACTTGCCCCAATCTCTCACCGAACACTTCGACTGCCGACTCGGCTTCCGTCTCCCCTTCAAATACGCCTTCACCAACTTCACCATATTCCGCCTCCATCTCACCGACACGCTCAACCAATCGTTCCCGTTCCGGTTGTGCTGCAGTCTCTGCAAGCGCCTCAGACTCCAATTCGACTGGAGCGAACACAGGCACACGTTCCGATTCAACCTGTTCTACCGCTTCACTTTCTGCGTCCGCTTCAACTTGCCCCAATCTCTCACCGAACACTTCGACTGCCGACTCGGCTTCCGTCTCCCCTTCAAATACGCCTTCACCAACTTCACCATATTCCGCCTCCATCTCACCGACACGCTCAACCAATCGTTCCCGTTCCGGTTGTGCTGCAGTCTCTGCAAGCGCCTCAGACTCCAATTCGACTGGAGCGAACACAGACACACGTTCCGATTCAACCTGTTCTACCGCTTCACTTTCTGCGTCCGCTTCAACTTGCCCCAATCTCTCACCGAACACTTCGACTGCCGACTCGGCTTCCGTCTCCCCTTCAAATACGCCTTCACCAACTTCACCATATTCCGCCTCCATCTCACCGACACGCTCAACCAATCGTTCCCGTTCCGGTTGTGCTGCAGTCTCTGCAAGCGCCTCAGACTCCAATTCGACTGGAGCGAACACAGACACACGTTCCGATTCAACCTGTTCTACCGCTTCACTTTCTGCGTCCGCTTCAACTTGCCCCAATCTCTCACCGAACACTTCGACTGCCGACTCGGCTTCCGTCTCCCCTTCAAATACGCCTTCACCAACTTCACCATATTCCGCCTCCATCTCACCGACACGCTCAACCAATCGTTCCCGTTCCGGTTGTGCTGCAGTCTCTGCAAGCGCCTCAGACTCCAATTCGACTGGAGCGAACACAGACACACGTTCCGATTCAACCTGTTCTACCGCTTCACTTTCTGCGTCCGCTTCAACTTGCCCCAATCTCTCACCGAACACTTCGACTGCCGACTCGGCTTCCGTCTCCCCTTCAAATACGCCTTCACCAACTTCACCATATTCCGCCTCCATCTCACCGACACGCTCAACCAATCGTTCCCGTTCCGGTTGTGCTGCAGTCTCTGCAAGCGCCTCAGACTCCAATTCGACTGGAGCGAACACAGACACACGTTCCGATTCAACCTGTTCTACCGCTTCACTTTCTGCGTCCGCTTCAACTTGCCCCAATCTCTCACCGAACACTTCGACTGCCGACTCGGCTTCCGTCTCCCCTTCAAATACGCCTTCACCAACTTCACCATATTCCGCCTCCATCTCACCGACACGCTCAACCAATCGTTCCCGTTCCGGTTGTGCTGCAGTCTCTGCAAGCGCCTCAGACTCCAATTCGACTGGAGCGAACACAGACACACGTTCCGATTCAACCTGTTCTACCGCTTCACTTTCTGCGTCCGCTTCAACTTGCCCCAATCTCTCACCGAACACTTCGACTGCCGACTCGGCTTCCGTCTCCCCTTCAAATACGCCTTCACCAACTTCACCATATTCCGCCTCCATCTCACCGACACGCTCAACCAATCGTTCCCGTTCCGGTTGTGCTGCAGTCTCTGCAAGCGCCTCAGACTCCAATTCGACTGGAGCGAACACAGACACACGTTCCGATTCAACCTGTTCTACCGCTTCACTTTCTGCGTCCGCTTCAACTTGCCCCAATCTCTCACCGAACACTTCGACTGCCGACTCGGCTTCCGTCTCCCCTTCAAATACGCCTTCACCAACTTCACCATATTCCGCCTCCATCTCACCGACACGCTCAACCAATCGTTCCCGTTCCGGTTGTGCTGCAGTCTCTGCAAGCGCCTCAGACTCCAATTCGACTGGAGCGAACACAGACACACGTTCCGATTCAACCTGTTCTACCGCTTCACTTTCTGCGTCCGCTTCAACTTGCCCCAATCTCTCACCGAACACTTCGACTGCCGACTCGGCTTCCGTCTCCCCTTCAAATACGCCTTCACCCACTTCACCATATTCCGCCTCCATCTCACCGACACGCTCAACCAATCGTTCCCGTTCCGGTTGTGCTGCAGTCTCTGCAAGCGCCTCAGACTCCAATTCGACTGGAGCGAACACAGACACACGTTCCGATTCAACCTGTTCTACCGCTTCACTTTCTGCGTCCGCTTCAACTTGCCCCAATCTCTCACCGAACACTTCGACTGCCGACTCGGCTTCCGTCTCCCCTTCAAATACGCCTTCACCAACTTCACCATATTCCGCCTCCATCTCACCGACACGCTCAACCAATCGTTCCCGTTCCGGTTGTGCTGCAGTCTCTGCAAGCGCCTCAGACTCCAATTCGACTGGAGCGAACACAGACACACGTTCCGATTCAACCTGTTCTACCGCTTCACTTTCTGCGTCCGCTTCAACTTGCCCCAATCTCTCACCGAACACTTCGACTGCCGACTCGGCTTCCGTCTCCCCTTCAAATACGCCTTCACCAACTTCACCATATTCCGCCTCCATCTCACCGACACGCTCAACCAATCGTTCCCGTTCCGGTTGTGCTGCAGTCTCTGCAAGCGCCTCAGACTCCAATTCGACTGGAGCGAACACAGACACACGTTCCGATTCAACCTGTTCTACCGCTTCACTTTCTGCGTCCGCTTCAACTTGCCCCAATCTCTCACCGAACACTTTCGACTGCCGACTCGGCTTCCGTCTCCCCTTCAAATACGCCTTCACCAACTTCACCATATTCCGCCTCCATCTCACCGACACGCTCAACCAATCGTTCCCGTTCCGGTTGTGCTGCAGTCTCTGCAAGCGCCTCAGACTCCAATTCGACTGGAGCGAACACAGACACACGTTCCGATTCAACCTGTTCTACCGCTTCACTTTCTGCGTCCGCTTCAACTTGCCCCAATCTCTCACCGAACACTTCGACTGCCGACTCGGCTTCCGTCTCCCCTTCAAATACGCCTTCACCAACTTCACCATATTCCGCCTCCATCTCACCGACACGCTCAACCAATCGTTCCCGTTCCGGTTGTGCTGCAGTCTCTGCAAGCGCCTCAGACTCCAATTCGACTGGAGCGAACACAGACACACGTTCCGATTCAACCTGTTCTACCGCTTCACTTTCTGCGTCCGCTTCAACTTGCCCCAATCTCTCACCGAACACTTCGACTGCCGACTCGGCTTCCGTCTCCCCTTCAAATACGCCTTCACCAACTTCACCATATTCCGCCTCCATCTCACCGACACGCTCAACCAATCGTTCCCGTTCCGGTTGTGCTGCAGTCTCTGCAAGCGCCTCAGACTCCAATTCGACTGGAGCGAACACAGACACACGTTCCGATTCAACCTGTTCTACCGCTTCACTTTCTGCGTCCGCTTCAACTTGCCCCAATCTCTCACCGAACACTTCGACTGCCGACTCGGCTTCCGTCTCCCCTTCAAATACGCCTTCACCAACTTCACCATATTCCGCCTCCATCTCACCGACACGCTCAACCAATCGTTCCCGTTCCGGTTGTGCTGCAGTCTCTGCAAGCGCCTCAGACTCCAATTCGACTGGAGCGAACACAGACACACGTTCCGATTCAACCTGTTCTACCGCTTCACTTTCTGCGTCCGCTTCAACTTGCCCCAATCTCTCACCGAACACTTCGACTGCCGACTCGGCTTCCGTCTCCCCTTCAAATACGCCTTCACCAACTTCACCATATTCCGCCTCCATCTCACCGACACGCTCAACCAATCGTTCCCGTTCCGGTTGTGCTGCAGTCTCTGCAAGCGCCTCAGACTCCAATTCGACTGGAGCGAACACAGACACACGTTCCGATTCAACCTGTTCTACCGCTTCACTTTCTGCGTCCGCTTCAACTTGCCCCAATCTCTCACCGAACACTTCGACTGCCGACTCGGCTTCCGTCTCCCCTTCAAATACGCCTTCACCAACTTCACCATATTCCGCCTCCATCTCACCGACACGCTCAACCAATCGTTCCCGTTCCGGTTGTGCTGCAGTCTCTGCAAGCGCCTCAGACTCCAATTCGACTGGAGCGAACACAGACACACGTTCCGATTCAACCTGTTCTACCGCTTCACTTTCTGCGTCCGCTTCAACTTGCCCCAATCTCTCACCGAAACACTTCGACTGCCGACTCGGCTTCCGTCTCCCCTTCAAATACGCCTTCACCAACTTCACCATATTCCGCCTCCATCTCACCGACACGCTCAACCAATCGTTCCCGTTCCGGTTGTGCTGCAGTCTCTGCAAGCGCCTCAGACTCCAATTCGACTGGAGCGAACACAGACACACGTTCCGATTCAACCTGTTCTACCGCTTCACTTTCTGCGTCCGCTTCAACTTGCACCAATCTCTCACCGAACACTTCGACTGCCGACTCGGCTTCCGTCTCCCCTTCAAATACGCCTTCACCAACTTCACCATATTCCGCCTCCATCTCACCGACACGCTCAACCAATCGTTCCCGTTCCGGTTGTGCTGCAGTCTCTGCAAGCGCCTCAGACTCCAATTCGACTGGAGCGAACACAGACACACGTTCCGATTCAACCTGTTCTACCGCTTCACTTTCTGCGTCCGCTTCAACTTGCCCCAATCTCTCACCGAACACTTCGACTGCCGACTCGGCTTCCGTCTCCCCTTCAAATACGCCTTCACCAACTTCACCATATTCCGCCTCCATCTCACCGACACGCTCAACCAATCGTTCCCGTTCCGGTTGTGCTGCAGTCTCTGCAAGCGCCTCAGACTCCAATTCGACTGGAGCGAACACAGACACACGTTCCGATTCAACCTGTTCTACCGCTTCACTTTCTGCGTCCGCTTCAACTTGCCCCAATCTCTCACCGAACACTTCGACTGCCGACTCGGCTTCCGTCTCCCCTTCAAATACGCCTTCACCAACTTCACCATATTCCGCCTCCATCTCACCGACACGCTCAACCAATCGTTCCCGTTCCGGTTGTGCTGCAGTCTCTGCAAGCGCCTCAGACTCCAATTCGACTGGAGCGAACACAGACACACGTTCCGATTCAACCTGTTCTACCGCTTCACTTTCTGCGTCCGCTTCAACTTGCCCCAATCTCTCACCGAACACTTCGACTGCCGACTCGGCTTCCGTCTCCCCTTCAAATACGCCTTCACCAACTTCACCATATTCCGCCTCCATCTCACCGACACGCTCAACCAATCGTTCCCGTTCCGGTTGTGCTGCAGTCTCTGCAAGCGCCTCAGACTCCAATTCGACTGGAGCGAACACAGACACACGTTCCGATTCAACCTGTTCTACCGCTTCACTTTCTGCGTCCGCTTCAACTTGCCCCAATCTCTCACCGAACACTTCGACTGCCGACTCGGCTTCCGTCTCCCCTTCAAATACGCCTTCACCAACTTCACCATATTCCGCCTCCATCTCACCGACACGCTCAACCAATCGTTCCCGTTCCGGTTGTGCTGCAGTCTCTGCAAGCGCCTCAGACTCCAATTCGACTGGAGCGAACACAGACACACGTTCCGATTCAACCTGTTCTACCGCTTCACTTTCTGCGTCCGCTTCAACTTGCCCCAATCTCTCACCGAACACTTCGACTGCCGACTCGGCTTCCGTCTCCCCTTCAAATACGCCTTCACCAACTTCACCATATTCCGCCTCCATCTCACCGACACGCTCAACCAATCGTTCCCGTTCCGGTTGTGCTGCAGTCTCTGCAAGCGCCTCAGACTCCAATTCGACTGGAGCGAACACAGACACACGTTCCGATTCAACCTGTTCTACCGCTTCACTTTCTGCGTCCGCTTCAACTTGCCCCAATCTCTCACCGAACACTTCGACTGCCGACTCGGCTTCCGTCTCCCCTTCAAATACGCCTTCACCAACTTCACCATATTCCGCCTCCATCTCACCGACACGCTCAACCAATCGTTCCCGTTCCGGTTGTGCTGCAGTCTCTGCAAGCGCCTCAGACTCCAATTCGACTGGAGCGAACACAGACACACGTTCCGATTCAACCTGTTCTACCGCTTCACTTTCTGCGTCCGCTTCAACTTGCCCCAATCTCTCACCGAACACTTCGACTGCCGACTCGGCTTCCGTCTCCCCTTCAAATACGCCTTCACCAACTTCACCATATTCCGCCTCCATCTCACCGACACGCTCAACCAATCGTTCCCGTTCCGGTTGTGCTGCAGTCTCTGCAAGCGCCTCAGACTCCAATTCGACTGGAGCGAACACAGACACACGTTCCGATTCAACCTGTTCTACCGCTTCACTTTCTGCGTCCGCTTCAACTTGCCCCAATCTCTCACCGAACACTTCGACTGCCGACTCGGCTTCCGTCTCCCCTTCAAATACGCCTTCACCAACTTCACCATATTCCGCCTCCATCTCACCGACACGCTCAACCAATCGTTCCCGTTCCGGTTGTGCTGCAGTCTCTGCAAGCGCCTCAGACTCCAATTCGACTGGAGCGAACACAGACACACGTTCCGATTCAACCTGTTCTACCGCTTCACTTTCTGCGTCCGCTTCAACTTGCCCCAATCTCTCACCGAACACTTCGACTGCCGACTCGGCTTCCGTCTCCCCTTCAAATACGCCTTCACCAACTTCACCATATTCCGCCTCCATCTCACCGACACGCTCAACCAATCGTTCCCGTTCCGGTTGTGCTGCAGTCTCTGCAAGCGCCTCAGACTCCAATTCGACTGGAGCGAACACAGACACACGTTCCGATTCAACCTGTTCTACCGCTTCACTTTCTGCGTCCGCTTCAACTTGCCCCAATCTCTCACCGAACACTTCGACTGCCGACTCGGCTTCCGTCTCCCCTTCAAATACGCCTTCACCAACTTCACCATATTCCGCCTCCATCTCACCGACACGCTCAACCAATCGTTCCCGTTCCGGTTGTGCTGCAGTCTCTGCAAGCGCCTCAGACTCCAATTCGACTGGAGCGAACACAGACACACGTTCCGATTCAACCTGTTCTACCGCTTCACTTTCTGCGTCCGCTTCAACTTGCCCCAATCTCTCACCGAACACTTCGACTGCCGACTCGGCTTCCGTCTCCCCTTCAAATACGCCTTCACCAACTTCACCATATTCCGCCTCCATCTCACCGACACGCTCAACCAATCGTTCCCGTTCCGGTTGTGCTGCAGTCTCTGCAAGCGCCTCAGACTCCAATTCGACTGGAGCGAACACAGACACACGTTCCGATTCAACCTGTTCTACCGCTTCACTTTCTGCGTCCGCTTCAACTTGCCCCAATCTCTCACCGAACACTTCGACTGCCGACTCGGCTTCCGTCTCCCCTTCAAATACGCCTTCACCAACTTCACCATATTCCGCCTCCATCTCACCGACACGCTCAACCAATCGTTCCCGTTCCGGTTGTGCTGCAGTCTCTGCAAGCGCCTCAGACTCCAATTCGACTGGAGCGAACACAGACACACGTTCCGATTCAACCTGTTCTACCGCTTCACTTTCTGCGTCCGCTTCAACTTGCCCCAATCTCTCACCGAACACTTCGACTGCCGACTCGGCTTCCGTCTCCCCTTCAAATACGCCTTCACCAACTTCACCATATTCCGCCTCCATCTCACGTTCGCTTTTTATATGTGTTGCTTTTCTGGCTTTTTCTTCCTCTTTCTGTATTTGATATGTTTTTGTTTGTTGATTTTCATGTATGTCGTTTTCTTGTTCTTCTTCATCTTTTGGACTTTTTATGTGTTTCAGTTTTTTTATTTTACTTTCTTTCATCGCTCTTTCTTTTATTTTTGTTCTTACTCCTATTTCGCTTTTTATTTGGTTTTCATCAATGATGTTTCTCTTGTACTTCTTTTCTTTGGATATTGATTTTTTGATGGCGCCGCCGTCAATTTCTTCTAGGTCCTTTGAATTTGTTTTAATAGCTGCTAATTTTCGTTCCGTTTCGTTTGTATTTTCTTCTATTTTTGCTTCGCCTATTGTGTAGTCTTCCTGTTCTAGTGTTGCGTGTTGTAATTGTCTATTTTTCCTTGTTTCTGTATGTTCTGTTTCTTCTGCTGAAATTATGTATTCTTCCTTGAATACGTGTGTTGATTTTCCATCATGCCCGGATTGTGTAACTTGTATTTCATTTTCAGTTAGTATATCTTTGATATCGTTGGTTTTTCTACCAGTCTCTGAAATAGTTATTTGCTCTTTCCGTTTATTGTCTGTTAAATTTGGTAAAATAGTCCCTGGTTTACTTAAGTCATTATTCTGTTCTTCTTGAAGTTTTTGGTCTTTGTTTATAGTACGTGGTTCGCATTAAGATTTTGTTGAATGAAAATTAGATTTGTTGATAGAGTTTTTCAAGGAAAAGAAAAAAACAAACAAAAAAGTAACAGAAACCAGATGCAACGCAAAAACTTTAAACAAAGGCATAACATAACCATCACGCAATTCAGGTATATATCATTTCTGAAGAAGCAAGCAGAAAAACTAAGTAAACATTTAATCATGTAAACTAAGGATAAAATGCTCAATATTACAATCTGACTATCTAGGTAGTTTTTGGGGAGATATGCATCTGATTGAGTGTGCTTTTCAACTTGTTCATAATCATAAACTACCAAGCAACATGCACATACAAGCGTAAATTTTATTTCACATGGGCTACATTCTAGCCAATTGCACACTGTGATAATATGATCGACTTTATATCAACTATATGAAGTGATTATAAAAACTTATTAGTTTTATATTAATATTACCTACCTTCCGTTTAGTTTGAAATATTTGATAAACTGATCCGTCAATATTTTGCCTAAAAGACCTATATTCTATTCACTAGCTAACATGAATATTATAAAATTGTGTTCAGTGTTCACATAGAATAAAGGTTCTAATATTATCTATTTTGTTTTTTGATAGATACCATGACACAGCCATAATAAGATTATGGGATTTTAGAACTATTCCTCATTAATACAGCCTTATAGATTGTTGAGATTAAGTCCATTTATTTTTTCTAGATTTTAATAACTCTTTTACACTTAAAACGAGAAATTGTACATTTTACAGTTAAACAATTTCACTTCTAAAAATGTTACCATGATAGAAAAATTGGTCTTCTGTAGTTGAAACTTCAGGTATCGTTGAATCTGTTTCTACAAACAATTCTTCATTCACACCAGATGATACGGACTGCTCTTCTGAAATTGAACGTTCAAAAACTCTATCAACCACTTTTTTTGTTGTTATTAAGCGAGTTATTATAGTTCCATCAGCTAGTGTTTCTTCAACTTGTTCCACCTAAAATAAGAAAATGGTGTTAGATTAACATAGAACTACGTTATTCTGAGAAGCTAAAAATCAAAGTGTCGTTCAATTTAATCTAAACAGCTAAAAAAATTTAGGTTTGTTTGCACAACCTTACCCGGTTCTGATAAAGCGGGAGAATACAAAGGTTTTCTTGTTTCCACGAAATACTAGTATAATACGATTATACGGTCGATAACTGAGACTGGATACTCGATTGATACGATGTACTCAGACTGTATCGCGTTATGCCAGATACCCCATTCACTAATGATAATTTGGAACTAGAGTATGCGCTATATAATATTTTATTACGCGAAATTACAAACAGTCACAACCACCATCTTTAACAAAGCTGCCTAATCTCACCCTTTCTCTTTCTCTTGGTAGTTGATTGGATTATGAAGACCTTGATATTTGAGGAGAAGCACAGAATATAACGGAAAGGTTTTATGCAACTAGACGATTTGAACTTTGCAGATGACCTGGATCTTTTATTCCATACACAGTAACAAGTGCAGGCGACGACAGCCAGTGTAGCAGATGCTTCTGCATCAGTAAGCTTCATTATACACAAGAGGAAAAACAAGGTCCTCAAATACAACACGGAGAACACAAACCCAATCACACTTGATGGAGAAACTATCGAAGTGGTAGAAACATTCACTTATCTATCCGGGAGGCATCATCTATGAACGAGGAGGATCTGATGCAGACGTAAAGGCACAGATTAGCAAAGCAGGGGCCGCATCCTTAGAGTTCAAGAACATATAGAACTCAAAACAACTGTAAACCAACATCAAAGTCACAATCCTCAATACGAACGACAAGACAGTTCTACTGTACGGAGCTGAAAATGGGAGAACTACCACAACCATCACCTAAAGGGTGCAAGCATTTATAAACAATTGTCTACTTAAGATACTAAATGTTTGTTGGCCGGATACTGTCAGCAACAGCCTACTATGGGGGAGAACAAACCCACTTCCAGCTAAAGAGGAGATAAGGGAAAGACGTTGGATGTGGACAGGATATACATTGTGGAAATCATCAAACTGCATTACGAGACAAGCGTTAATGTGGAATCGTGAAGGGGGACGGAAAATAGGAAGTCTGAAGAACACACTCTGTCGGGAATTGGAAGCAAACATGGAAAGGATCAATAGCAACTGGGAACAACTGGAAAGGTTGGGCCAGGACAGAGTTGGATGGAGAATGCTGGTGAGTGGCCTATGCCCCTTCATGAAGGGTAACAGGAGTAACTCAGGTAAGTAACAACCACTGGGTCTAGAGTAGAAATCAATAATAAAACGGAAACCGCATATTGAATAGTTGATGTTTGTCAGTCCAAGCTCAATTGTCAGTTATTGAATGTGTTATATTCAGCCCTTGCAGATATCTTTTTTGTTTATTAATTAGGAGGATGCTACATATGATAGTTCAGTTTCCGTTAAAGGCCTGATTTCAAACCCTAAATTTTCTTCATGTGTTTCTTATCCGTTATGTTAGATCGTTTAATATTAGATGTGTACACGTCAGAAAGTCGTGAATAAATTCAGTAACCTAAAATGAAATCTCTAATAGACATTGCACTCAAATAAACAGAATTTACACACTACATGAAAAGAAAAAAAAAGTTAAAAGAGCTGAATATAACACTCTTACTGAACGGTGAAAGACAGTGTGAACAACCTGAATCTATTATAACTTCTTATTTAATGTAATGTAACTGTCTAGTCAAGCGAGTTGTGACGACTTTTTAAAGTTTGAGGTTGTTCACATGATACCGTAACATCAGGTGGAGAACTTTTTCAATCAGATATATATTCAAGAACTCGTTGAAACTCAGAAAAGTTATTATTAAGGACCTGTGAACCACTTAACAAATAAAATGAAAGTTAATCCTGTTAACTTACTTCTGTGATTTCTTCTGGTTTTTCAACCAAATAACCTCCAGACTCAATTGCTGCCTGTACACCCAATTTCCATTCATCCGGAGTAACTGAGAGAGTGGTTTCTTCAGATTCTGTGCGTTTTGTGACAACCGTACCGTCAGGTAGAACTTCCTCAACTTCTTCGATTTCACGCGATTCTTTCGGCATTGAATGGATCACTTCGGTACTGACCGAATCTGAATGAGACTTATATGGTGATGGAATCTGAGGTTCGTTCACGGTGTGAGGTATTTTAATATCAGATTTCATTTTTAAGACTTCAAGTTCTGTGATTTTGCAAGTTTGAACTCTGTCGATTTGTTGAATATTGTTGGTTAGTACTGCTCTCTGATAAGCATTTTCGAATGATTCTTCATCCTGCAAGTTTTCTAACCACGGAACAGGGAATTCTTCATTCACTTCTTGTGGAGATACGTAGCTGTCTTCTAAAATATTGAAACGTTCCATAAGGCATGTGCTATTATTAAATTTAGGCAAACATGTTTACAATTTGTTCTGTATTCATCTTATAAAGATTTTAATGATTGGTGCACTCACGATAAAGAAATAATGATAACTAGTTATTAACTTGGGCTTGAAAGTCGTTACTAATTGTTACTATTAGCTTATTGAAAAAGCATTGAACTTTGTAAAACTATATTGGTGTACATGCTTCTCTTTATTATGAAGGCAAAACGAATATTCATTTAAAGTGGTTGATTTAGTGGTTCAAAAGTTTTACTCGTTAAAAAAAATAAATCCCCATATCAAATGAAAAAGTCACATATACAGAACTATTAAACTACTTCTGATGTATACATATGCCTAAAAAATCAGCAAAAATATACTAATTTTAAATCTGAATGATAATCAACAAGTGAACTATTAAAATCTATGAGGCACTGGATATCTAGTGCTACGTGTTTTGGGATTCTTCATTAGTTCACACTAAAACCTTGTATTGGGTTAGATCCAAGACGTAAAGTGGTAAGCACGATTTCTTAAAGAACTGCTTAAGAATTTTTCACAATTTCCCCTTCAAATAAATTGTGTCATTTTAGGAGGTGTACATTTGAAGTGAACAATGATTCTATCGATCAACAAGCAAACTTCCCAACAGAATTATGAATGAATCGAAGATTTCTACAAGTAGGATTTCACTGCATGACGGCATACTGTATCTCAGTCAACTTTGTACTTGACCTAATATACTTTTGACGCTGAACTTTGATAGTATTTAGACGTATAAACAAATAAGTGAAATCTTGCCAGATTTAATGATGATTAATTCTAATTTTCTAAAGAAATAAGTCATCAAAATGTGAGGGACGACTATTGGAAGTAGTTTCTACTTAATTGTTTTGGTGATGTTTATTTAATTTCAGGTATTATGTTCGTCCATCAGGCTGCTAAACATCTGAACATGATAAATTAATGAAAGTTTGTCAAATTTAAGTGGTTGGATGTTTATTATTTTCACCTTCATTGCGAATTGAATCATATCTTGTGGTTATTCAATGTTATAGCTATCAATGTCATAGTTATCAGTGTTACAGCTTATGATGGCGACTACGAATTAACCTAATATTTTGTGCCTTTTAGGAAAGTATTTAGTCTCATCTTAGTATGTTTAATGTATCAAAATAATGTCCTACTTGGAAGTTCGTCCGCTGATGAAGTTGTAATTTAGACAGCTATGTACAATTTGATTTCATATTAAAAATCAAGCTCTACAATCACTTTTATTCAATGTATGTGTACTAAATTATTTAAATATACGATCGGGTAATTCATATTCACTATGATAAACATAGGTAATATCAGCTTTTAACTCTTAATTTATAATCACTACAGAATGTAGTCAATATATCATTATTATTCATGCATTATATTCTTCAGAAAGAGAAACTGTTGTAAATTAGATGTAAGAGGTGACTATACATTAACATATATGTGGGGTGTGATCACAAATACTAGGGAAAACCCAAATATTTACCTTCCATTGCTATTGTAGATGACATTATAGATGATTGTTTAGTTGAGACTCGTTTTTTAAGTGCTTCATCTGTTTCTTGGGCTCTACTAACTCTGATGACCTCCTCAGTTGACATGTCTTCTTCAGTAGGAAAGATTTCTGGAATGATGAACTCAGTACTCAGTGTATCTATAGATTCGGATATTCCACTTTTATTTGTACTATGAACAGGAGGGGATTGAGAAGGTGTTACGGTCGATATGGTTCTAACTCTTTGAGAATCCTTCAAAAGTGAGATTGTCTGTTCCTTACGATCAAATGTTCTAGGTTCAATTATATCTTCCATTATTTCTCCACGATCAGTTGGCAGTAGTTGTTCAACTAAGTTAAATCAAGCAAAACAGTTTCAGATTTTTGATAAGGAAATGTAGTCGTAAATAATTCTATAATGATGATATAGAATATTAGATTCTTTGTTATTCATTTTCATCACCATTTAATATATTAACATCATGCTTGCTTTTGTGCTGACCATTTACAGTTTATAACGAATCTTTCTGTTTACTAGTTCATGAAAAAATCATTCTATTAGTGAGTAACGTTGTACCGAGTACTGTGTACTAAAATTAACTCTTTAGTAGCAAGGTTACTATTGTTTTGAATTTAGGTAATTAATTGTAGCTTATTGATTCAAACACTTTTTCGCTACTCATCTAATGCTTTGTGGTCGGGCGAGTATTATTTGTGATTCATGTACACTAAGTGAAAAGAACATAGCTAACAAAGGGACATACAGTTTGTTGCATATTCAAATTACTTTAGGCAGCTAATCTGTACCGAGACTTTGTGCTTTGAATAGCGGAAACTAGATGTGCCTAAGTGAGTGATAATTTCAAAAAATTTCTACTTATTGATAATACATAAATACAATCTGATTAATAGTTAACTTGAAGATACAAACAGGCAGAAAGTAGTGCAGAGTCATTTTATGAGAATACATTGAGTCATTTATAAAAGACAGTTTGAGCTGGAGTGTAATAAGATTTGGTGCAAAACTATCGTTAATTGAATGAATCTTTTCACAGTATCTTGGGATGGTGCTATCGTTTTGTGCTTTCTTAATATATACGGAAAATTATAAAATGTCCTTATTTATCAGTGAATTTCAGAATAATTCTGCTCATTGCTGATGAAAAGCTGAATTCAATAAATCATAACTAATGAGAGCTAATTAGTGGTGAGACACTAGGCCAAGTCAATGGACGGAAAAATAATTAAAAAAAGCTGTTTGCAATTTTCACTTTTAGCAAATGTTTCAGTTCACCATTATTCAGAAATCAGATTAGTATACAGATTAATGGGAAGAAAAAAGCTCCTTTGCCTAGTAGGGAAGAATTATGAATCATACTGGCATACTTTTAATAAGAATAATAAAACGCTACTATAATAGTTTTGCTTACCTAAAGCAGTGTCGACGAATTGTGGTCCAATGGCATCTAATAATTCTTGTACGACATATTTTATCTGTTTTCTGTCAGTTGAAGTAGATTTATGTTCAACATATTGAGATATTGGTTTCATGAAAACTTCTGTTATTTGACTATCTGGTTCTTCGATTTGCTTGTCTGCTAATTGACTGAACTTTGTTGGCAAATCTAAACGAACGCCAACTGATTCCAAATGTGCTAGCAAAGCTTCTTGCCAGTGAACATGTGGTTTTTCTTCAGTGACGTCGTCATAGTGACTTAACACTAATATCTGATCTGATGCATTTTCAACTGAAGTAAACATGGTTGGAACAGTATGAACATCAACAGGAAGTTTTTCTTGGTCTGTAACATCAGCCTGTGAAACAGACTGTAAAACTGCTGCTAATTCATCGAAATACAAATAGAATACACGAATAGAATGAGTTATTTTATTCCCAGTCAAAGTATGTAAAATTTGAAATCTTTTTACTAAAAAAAAGAGAGCAGTGCAACAATAAAGTTCTGATGGGTGGATTGTGTCAGTAATGTTCACGTTTAACAATCATCCTTTGTACATGTGGAGCTATTAAACGACTTTTGATAAAATGTTTTGGTAGAAGATGAAATAAGTGTAAAACATAGTAATATATTTTACACAAAGTACTGTTAGACTGCTATGAAACAATCCTTGAGGATCCTAATGACTTAAAATATACTATTTTAACTAATTTGATAATACAAACATTTAAAGCTATTAGACTACCTGCCGGTGTATTTATTAAACTCAGTAAAAACCACCTCACTACTAGGATCCGAAGATTTGAAAGTTTAAGAAGTAAGGAGAGATCTATTAACCCTAAAACCAAATTTTACTTTAATCAATGTTGAGTTTTCTTTGAAAAATGAGTTTTTTGTATACTCTAGTGTTACTTTTCTTAAAGTAGAGACACGTTCAATAAGTCTAGTAACAAAGTTTGTCGAAAATTCCTCCAAAATACTTTCAAAGCATTATAAATTAGTTTTTATTCGTATTTTACTTATTATTAGTTTGTCGTGCATCAATATTTTGGGGTTTATTTTTCACTGATCAAACTTTTATTTCTATGGATATTAAAAGGTTCTTAGTCTTATATGTTACGGGGCATGTGTTTAGTTGAGTTTATATATAAAATAAAGAATCTACGTGGTGACAAGACATAAGCATTCACTAGTAATGGTAGTGAAAATTTAGTAATTTACATCAACATTTGTAATCATTTCAGCTGCTATAAGTTCATCAATGCATTTGTGTTGAATGCGTATTTTAACCATTCAGTCTGCGTTCCACGTAGGAAGTGAGTTTAGAGATTTTTGACTAATGATTTTAATGGGTATTACTTTTCAGTTTATCACCTTAACTAAGTAAACGATCATGGCTGTTTCAAAAGAAATCTCCTCTTAAAAACACCACTTGAACGGAAAATAAATTAATTTAAACGGTGCCCGATTAAAGTCAAATTTAGTGTTTTAACCTGTGTATTGCTTGACCAATGAAACACACATTCTGTTCTTCCTAAGATGAATTTCTGACACATTTGAGTAATTTTTAGCATAGTATCCAACCCTTAGCATGTATACCACATCATGCTATATAGTGAAACTAAGTATTTCATGAAGTGGAAATAATTTGCATGAAATTTGGTTTTACCTTCTGGTTTACGAAGATCATCTGTTTCACCAGAAGCCGAAATAGTCGAAACACCTTCATCTGACGAAAGAAATGCATTTTCAGACCAAGAAAACACTGTATCTGTTTCTTGTTTTCTCTTTTCTTCCATTTTCTGATATTTCATGTCTGTTTGAAAAAGAAGTGTTATACAATTACCAAACAAAATTTTAAATATCTGCTAACTTTCAAATGTTTGTTTTTCAATGATTAAAAATAGGCGAAAGGTACTCATCTTATATGAATAAAGTTTGGAATCCTATCTGTGCACTGAAAATATGTAGAAGGAATAATAGAAAGAGTAAATCACAGTTTGTATGCTAGATAGTCTAAGTTATGTAACCAACTGCCATTTTAAAATAAAATACAAATCAAAAAGGTCTGATAAGTTGAGTTTTCAAAAGAATGTATGTTGCACTACAGTACGTGATAAAATTACTTGTTTGACTAACAAGCAGGTACTTAAAATAATATTGATGACCTCGCAAGTGATCTTCTGTGTCATGTTCGAAGTACTATTATTTTAAACAACTATGCAATCATACTTTTTAGATTCGTTTCCTTGCTATCCGTTTACCAAAAGCTTTTAAAAAAATTTATTACGCCTTATAATTTATTCGAGTATTTATAGTTAACTTTGATATTTTATACTTTTGAGCACCTATAACTAATTCAGAACTTGTGAGCTTATTTACTCCAAGTTTTCATATTCAGTTGTACCTACCATTGACATTTAAGCCGATTTGATGTATGGCGATAGTTCACAGACAAACTGATGTTTCTTAGATTGGTTTTCAAGCTGATCAATTAGATCATCACTGCATTATTCAGTAGTTTACTTATTGAAATAAAAGCGATGGTTCCTGATTATATTCTACGATTTTCCTATTAAAAACGTACTAAACAAAGCTAATGGTATAAACACAGCTAACGAAGTGGACATGGTGTGTTTAATAGCTGAGGAATTCAGGACGATTAGTTCAATTCTGTGAGTCAATAAAAAATAGAGTTAATTATACATATCCATCTTTAACAAAGCTGCCTAATCTCACCCTTTCTCTTTCTCTTGGTAGTTGATTGGATTATGAAGACCTTGATATTTGAGGAGAAGCACAGAATATAACGGAAAGGTTTTATGCAACTAGACGATTTGAACTTTGCAGATGACCTGGATCTTTTATTCCATACACAGTAACAAGTGCAGGCGACGACAGCCAGTGTAGCAGATGCTTCTGCATCAGTAAGCTTCATTATACACAAGAGGAAAAACAAGGTCCTCAAATACAACACGGAGAACACAAACCCAATCACACTTGATGGAGAAACTATCGAAGTGGTAGAAACATTCACTTATCTATCCGGGAGGCATCATCTATGAACGAGGAGGATCTGATGCAGACGTAAAGGCACAGATTAGCAAAGCAGGGGCCGCATCCTTAGAGTTCAAGAACATATAGAACTCAAAACAACTGTAAACCAACATCAAAGTCACAATCCTCAATACGAACGACAAGACAGTTCTACTGTACGGAGCTGAAAATGGGAGAACTACCACAACCATCACCTAAAGGGTGCAAGCATTTATAAACAATTGTCTACTTAAGATACTAAATGTTTGTTGGCCGGATACTGTCAGCAACAGCCTACTATGGGGGAGAACAAACCCACTTCCAGCTAAAGAGGAGATAAGGGAAAGACGTTGGATGTGGACAGGATATACATTGTGGAAATCATCAAACTGCATTACGAGACAAGCGTTAATGTGGAATCGTGAAGGGGGACGGAAAATAGGAAGTCTGAAGAACACACTCTGTCGGGAATTGGAAGCAAACATGGAAAGGATCAATAGCAACTGGGAACAACTGGAAAGGTTGAGCCAGGACAGAGTTGGATGGAGAATGCTGGTCAGTGGCCTATGCCACTTCATGAAGTGTAACAGGCGTAAATATGTAAGTAAGTAATCTTTGACTAGTAATTATTGAAATTCATTAGCTTAACCAAAGTTAACTCAAATGTCGAATGTTCAGTAACGAAAAAATTGAGAATTTCGCCCAAAAAACCATTTGTCCTAATTGCTACACTTTACACCTACACGAGGATAGGAATTTCTCAAGACAAAAAGTGTGAAAAGAGAACAAGAAGAATATGTAAAGTGTAAATGTTGTGACGAAATTTGAATCCAGTTATGAATTTCTCTGAGGAATAACAAAACAAATGAGAACACATTCACTTAATGAGCTACATAAAACATTGCTGTCATATAACAAGGAAAACAGCGAATATCTCAGTAATCCGGCATTTAAAATTATTCCATTTTGTATAATTTTATTACTGCACCTCTGAAAGTCTGATATCGTCCTGCATGTTTAAAGCTAATTTTTAACTAATTTGGCCATACTGAAAAGAGATAGGTAAGCCTTACTATAAATGAGGGCATTGTGGTATGTAAAGGCATATTCATATAATCACTTATAATTTAAATAGTTGGAATCATGAGTCAATTGAAGCTAGACCATCATGGAAAACCTGAAAGCACTGGACGGTCGTTTCGTCCTAGTATGGGGCTCCTCAGTAGTGCTCATCCACGATCCCGCACCCCGCAAGATTCGAACCCATGACTTACCAGTCTCTCAGGCGAGCGCATGACCATTAGACAACTGGGCCGGCGTCCAACGGTGTTAATGTTTAACTTCAACCAATCCACGAAATTGCTTCCGTGTTTCCCATGGTGGTCTAGCTTCAGTCGACTATTGAAATTTCTAAAATCACAAAATCCCTTACTTATAATTTAAACAAAACACATACAAGCCGACTATGAATTATGAAATCTTTACAAACCTATTGAACCTAATTATACTGATTAAGAAAAAATAAGATTATCCGATTACCAACGACAACGTTACAAGAAATATAAGATGATTTTGCCATAAAATACATGAGGCTATATTAACTAATTCTTTCTTTAAAAAAATGAAAGTCCGTGCAAACAGCAAGTAGTCAAGCAACAGTGTCAACATTTTTACTTTAATCTACACACATTTGTCATTTTTCGTTATACTTCATAACTTGCTTAGTTATTAAATATTAATATTGATAAAAAAGAGAACGATTTTTTTTCGTTGGGTGCTTTGTAAAAACACTACAGTGATGTTTAGAATCAGATTGTATGTGATTTTTTTCTAGTGAAAATAATCATTCTAAAGCCAAATAAGTCATTATTTTCTTTTCGGTTACTTTGAGGGTAATTTTAGCCAGCACGTCAATGAATTAGTTTGTAACTAGTATCAAATAGTTGCAATAAAGTTAATTCAGACGTAGGTAACAGTGTCACAGTTCTAGTAACATTCAAAGATTTTTTTCCGAATTGAGTCTTCGTTTTACGTATTACTGTATTAATGATAGAATGCAGCTTCGAACGCTTTATCATAAGACCTAGAACTATGAAATTAACAGTAATAACAATGGTCTTTCAAAAAATTTCAAAAAGCATCTAACCTAAAGAACTATTTATTGCTTCACGTCTCGGATATGTCAGTACTTCATTTAATGTTACTTGTGGTAAAATTTCTTTAGCAACCAATGGCAGGATAGGTCGTCCCTCGAAGACGTCAGTTTCAGTTATTCTTTCTTCTTTCATCGTTACTGGGTGTAAGTCAGTCATGACTGGAGGAATAGCGTCAAAGTGATTTATTTTAGTGAGCGCGTCAGCCAGACGATTATCTAGGTGTATGGTAATGACAAAAATAAAAAAATAAAGATGTAATAATAATAAACTAAATTTATTCCTCAAAGCAGAAATTAACCGTGTTGATGAGCGAAAATGAAATTAAGCCAACATCTTGAAATCAATCCCAAAAAGGTGATTTTAGATATCATAATAATTTTCTAAGAACTGACTTCATAAGGCAAATGCTAATTATGTTTCAATATCGTTCCAGTTGCTAAGTGTTGTCGTCAACATTTATGTGAAGGTGACAAGAGAGGTTTTCCAATACGCATAAAAACGTGGCTGAAATTGATAATGTGTGAATCTGAATAATCATTGTTTTGAGCAGCTAAGATGACTGGCTTAAAGCACTTTATTTTGTTAGAAACGTGGTAACTGAAGATGATATAGAATCAAGGTAACTATAATGTCAGTTACCAAACTCGTTGATCACTTGATCAAGCTAAAAGATCTAATGGCTGGCCATTTCTTAGTTTCACACACCATAACGTGATACAACTTGAGCAGTTATAAGAAATAAAATACAGTAATGAGGTTTCTCTGGTCAACGACAAATTATCTGCCAGAAGCCCTGGGCTGTCTGCATTTTACGTTACCAATCATGTTTCATTATTTTGACGTTTTTGTAGTAACTAGTAATATTAAGTACCGAATTATTTGTACCTGAAAAAACTATCAACATTATGAACACTAACGGAATCAATAGACAAAAGTTCGTTCGGCTGAAATGAAATACAAAGCTTCACAGTTGTTTATGAATTATAGCTGTGGAAATTTCGGGCTACTCGCTAACCACTGAGAACGCAGATATGTCAGGGATCTTCAAATAAAAAGTAATAAAATTCAGCGTACGTGACGTTTCTAAATTTATTATTAACTTTAGAATCTCATAACAGGATTTCTGATCCATAAATAAAGGAATTTCTAGACAAACAAGTCTCCAGTTTTCTAAACTTCAACTTATAGCTTCCATGTCTTTTGTTCAGACGTCCCGATAAGCAAAATACAGTTTTTAGAAGATGATATTCTAGAGACTAAACATGTAAATTTGTGCACTTGTACACCACAAAGGTGTCTTGTCCAGTACATCACTAAAAACATGATTTCACTGAGCTCTTACTTTGAACGATCAGAATGGTAACAAACCATCACTATTCTAGGTGACTAACATTTTATACCAAAAAAAGAAACCAGTTCAAGACTCTTGGCACTCAAGTACTATCATTCCTATTTACCTTATACAACAAGCTACTTTTTATGATTTAATGGCACTAGAAGTCATGTATGAAATTATCTCCAAATTTAATCATTAAGTCATCAACAGTTTGTACTGCTTCCTAAATTCTCGGCTGAAAATTAAGATCGTTTTCTGAAGTCTGATTTAGGAATGTGCTTCAAGCAAATTTGTGTGCCTTTACCCTGACATTCAGCTGCCGTAATGTCATACCCGAACAAAAACTAGAAAACAAGTCAATGATAGAATTAGATTCAATAGAGCCTAGTCATACAACCGATTTCAATGGCACAAGAATCTACCGAAAAGGTTTTAGTTCAGAAAAAGAGAGATTAACAGCTAAAGCCCTACACAAACAATATTAATAAGGGAGATGGAGTACGATTAACCTGCCATGGCAACTAATAATTAATAAGTAAGCCTTAACTTCTTATTGCATTTTGTTCAATCCATTTCTTATTATGTGAACAACAATAATCACTTTTACTTGTTGTAAGTAGCTGGTTTGTCTAAATATACGATGAACAATCAGCTTGGTCAACACAATAATGCAACACATCTATTTGTTTACTTATAGTTATTTTATAAATGATGCAACATGTTCGATTCATGTCATTAATCAAATCATCTGATTTTATCAAAAACCCCTCAGTGGAGGCAATACATAGTTAATGAATTTTGCTCTCATTAGGTATACGTACCACACACGACTGTCATCTTAACACAAGACATGTTTTTCAGATTTTATTGTTGATTTATGAAAGATACGTTCATCCTTTATAAAGACATTATAGAACAACTAGAGGTTTCAAGGCAATCTAATAAGTGCGTCCTGCAACTAAGCTTACAAACGGAGAGGCAAGTGAAGGCAGAATAGCATTTTGGATATCCTACTGACAAAAAGAGCTGATAGATCTAAGTGATAAAAGTACTTGGACACAACAATGTACACGTTTCCCTAACTTCCTACTACTGAAGTGCAAAAGAAACTCAATGACCATATGCTCAACTGATGAAGCTGAAGAGGAGCTGAAGGCCTTGTGCAATATTTTTAGAGGAAGTGGATATGATGGAATGTGCATGAACAAATATATGATCACAGAAGTGATAAATACCCAAACTATAGGAGTTATCTATGTGCTTGAAATTCAGAGGCGTTGCACACAGTGAAATAATGTTGGGGAGACTTATCACAACAGTTCAAAGGACGTTCGATGCAGGAAAGCTACGAATAATGTACAATGGTGACTCCGAGAGTAAAAGACTAATTATCTTGATTAGTCACCTTCGTTTTCAGTTCAGTTAAGCATGTGGAACAAGTTACGTTGGTTGGATTTCTAAGAACTTACAGTTTCGGGATCGTAAACACTTTCCACACTGGCTAAGCACAAGCGTAATCAATACAATGAATAGCTCAGTAATGTCTCATTTGGTTTAAATGGGTCATAATGTCAACATAAATCAATCATTTTGGCAGTTTATCGCATTGGCAATTGTATGCCGAAAACGTCAAACAAAGTTATTAGGATGGTGGAAGCACTAGTTATTCAGATTGAAAGACCGAAGCTTCGTGTACAAAACAAATTTATTTAGTCTCTTCTTTTACCCTGACCCATCTCAGACCCAATAGGCCAGTGGTCGTATCAGTTTCACCAATATACATTCGGTCTTCCCCTTTTGTATTTTCATATTTCAAATTCCTGTTATTCGAATATTGTTACTGTAATTGTTATTATTACTACCAGTGTTATTATTATTATTTCACATGACCTTGCGTTATTATCATTATTATTATTATCATTATTATTATGTCCACCATTATTATTAGTCTTGTAAGCACATGAAGAAACTAGTTAGGATTAACCCCATTTTATTGTTTCCTACTTAATTCCTACCATTTCCTGCACTAAGTTATCTTCCATTAAACATCTGATGCAATTTATACCTACATTATTATTTCTCTCACTTCTTGTTATCCATATTTATTCTAACTAATAATCTCACAAATCCAACTGACTCATATACTGATTCTAGTTAACAATACATGCTAGTCATTTCAGGCTTAATCAGTTCATTTTCTTTTCCGAACGATCCTAAACTCACATTTCATAGTTTCAAAAGATGTATTTGCCTTAAACTCGGTAATTTTTTGTTTGATTGATATGGATATATGTATAACTATGTAACTTGAATAAAATTTATTGAAAAAAATACTCTTTGTTTGATGAGAAGTGATAGGCTAGTTTTTGAACTTATCTGCTAGGTTAGAATCTAGCTAGTCGTGGTCTATTTCTCTGGTCTATGTTGTGCTTTTATAGGATCATTTAGTCCACAGAACGATTCCATAGATCACTTACCTAAAGCATCTTTGTCAAACCTCATAACGTTGCTCTGTGTTACCATAAAGTAATCATATTTTCCACTCACTGATTTTTATTCCCAAGTCGACTAGATGCTATACCGTTCAGTGGAATTCTATCTATCGTTTTAATATCCTGTTCAGAGAAACCAAGATGAGGCGCTAATCGTTTACAATCTTCGCCGATTTCAAGTGCCTGGTGGACAATCAAACTCAGACCGTCTGATAATATCTGGTTCTACATTATTTATACTTGTTTTTCAAGACAACAATACTTTTTGATTTAGTATGTTTTGAAGATTGCTACAATGTATATTGTTTGTTATGAAAATATCTACACTTTGCTTTCACCTATTTTGTAATGGGTCAGTTAAATTCGACTTGTCTGCTGCAAACCTGTTGGGTTCCGTTTTCACTAAATTGAAAAAACCATTCGTTTTTCTAAGTCTTTCAAAGAGTATTAATTGTAAAAAATACAGTTGGCTAAATAATACATATTTAGTAATACAATAATGATGTGTATGTGATATCCTAATGATTAGAAATAAGTGATTCTAACGTTTATTTTAAATTAGGAATTCAAACACGTATTTAGGTTTTTCAAATGTATTAATATAAAATTAAGTAAATTTTTTCCAGCTAAATCTTATATTCTAACAGAATACCTCTACAAGCTTTCAATTTTTCGACCCAGCGATGTAAGTGAAGCTATGAATTTAACATCCTAGTTCTGTTAGAAACTGTCACTGTTGTCTGAAATAATGGAGGTTTCCTAACTAAATTATCCAGCTGAAGGAACGTAAAAGTACTGGGAAAGTAATGTCTTTTCTGCTTCTCTCCAAAGCTCTTAAACAGTGGTGCCATCAAACATACAGGTTACTGTGTTTGTCACTATTCACACTTAAAATATCCTTCAAACGTGATAATAGTAAAATTTCAGTAGACGTTGTACGCAAACAGAGCACTATAATTTGACTTTTATTAATCTTTTCAACATTACCTCTTGTAGATATCACAATAGTTTTATCTGGAATTGGTAGCTTGAATTCTAATAGAGTGATTATACGTTGCTGTTGTGCGCTAGTCATATCCAAAGTTGTTTGAGCTTTGCGTGGTTCACGTACAAATGCAATTTTTCCAGTAACTGTACTTGAATCTGGTTCATGATCCAGTACGTCTCGCAATCGAACTGGGAATGTAATTCTGTTATCATGGAATGGTCGAATGGCAAAGTTCAACTGTTCATCAGATCTTAACACTGGTACCAGATTTCCAACCATTTCAATCCAGATAGGCTTATTTTGTTGAATCTAAAATAAAAGGCAAAGCATTATTGTAAATAATTTCTTAATATTTCGATAGGGTTACAAAGAAATGTTAGTGTGATAGGACAGTTTTTGATATGCCAGAAGGAACCCATGTGTAGTACCAAATGAAAAAAAATAAATTAGAATTAAATAGCTCAAAGCTGACGATATCTTTTTTCAGTATGGAGGTGTAGAGATTGTAGATTTTCATTGAAATCATGAACCGATCAATGTTAAACCACAACTGAAACCTGGAAGCACTGGACAGACGTTTCGTCTTAGTATGGAACTCCGCAGTGCCCATCGACGACCTCACACGTAGGGTTATTTGATCACTTATTACCTTGAAGGGCTCATGGATAACGGGGTCACAAAATGTCGCCTTTCGTACTGGATATTTTTTTAAACCATGGATAAAAGTTAGTGGTAATGTGGACCATCACTGATTGTGTTATATCCTAGCGAAGATGAAATTATGGGTAACTTCTGAGAGCTATTAATGGACTAATATTATATATATTCCTATTGTATAACTCATGAATAACTAGATTATGTATATTTATATTCCACTTATTATAAGCTTTATTTTGACATATAAACTATCATTATACGACTTACTATTCTTAAGTTATACTCAGTCTATTAATTACAGTCTCTCATATTCACAGCTACTTTTTGGCTTGATCTTGTACAAATGTTATTTTTTTTATTTTATGGTATGATGTGGTCTCATTCGCTTGTATACAAACAAAGTATGTCTGAAATAAATGATTCATATAGTGGTGTTCTGGACTCAACAGGCAAGGCTGGGTAGGGAAAAGGACCATCAAAGACGCTAGGCTGATTGTCAATCATATCATGTGCTAAATTAACGGATTAACATAACATATATTTGTTATTTAAAGGTTCAAGTTGAGTTTAAAGGAGTTTAGGGCATCAGAATAAATAAAATAATAAGATGAAGAGACACTATAAAGTCATTAACTGTTTGCCCGACTCTAGTCAAACAACTGTAACCCTTAAAATAAAAGCTGTTAGTTACAGATCTTTTCTGTTATGACGTGATGTGGATCCTGTTGGTTTGAGTGCACCTATATAAAGCATTTGTCAAGAATAGTGCACATCTAATGATTTTAAACCTTTGTATCCTTCCTTTTTTCTTGTGTTTGCTATCCTTAGGTTGTGCGATAATTAGGAAAGATAAACTTTTTTACTACATATTTGATTGTCCAGTTTGGCCTTTTATTTTGTATTGTTTATGATCAATACAAGTATAGTTAAAAATACTTGAATAGAATATTCACGCTAGTCAGTCAGTTAGTTACAACTTAGAACCTGGTAAGTGTGTATATCGGTTCGGGTTGCTATACTCCATCAACACAGAGAGACGAAATTGTCAGGCCAAATCCCAGAATAATAGAGGTAGTAACAGCGTGAGTGATAATGGAAAAAATTAGTCATCGAACATGCGATTCAGAAAGGTATAAATTAGTGAGACAAAAATGAAAACTGTTATGGAGGATTCATAAACCCAGGATTCGAGGGAAGACAAAGAATGGATGTACCTGTGCCATTTCAAATTATTTTGAGTAGTTTGACTTAAAGTCTCTAACCATTGGCTACGACAATCACAACGGACCACAAACAAGTAGTCCGTACCCTTTAACATGTCTAAGTTCTAATGCTGATGGCTTTATGGACTGATACCACGTCTTGGTTTGGCTGCTTCTAAATTTATTCCAGTCTACATGTACAGCAGTGAACATGGAAAGTCAAGGTAGGCGGTGGTTGGGCATACGTAACATTTTTCTCAACCACCTCAGCTGATGGAGATTTACTACCTCATCAATCAGTTTCCAACACTTACCTAATACCATATTCCTATGCAATGGTTACTCAGCGGTCTCACTACACACGAGAAATGCTTCGGAAACACGTGTGATCGAATACTAGTAATCTACGAGTATACTCCATTCTTAATGGCAATGTTTCACATCCTTAAAGTAGAACAGAGCAAACTACTGCACAGTAAATTCGTTATTTGGTTGGCAGACGGATATCTCGCCTACGCCACCAGCGACACAAGCTGGCAAAAGCCAGTCGAGCGTTCTGAATTGGTGCATTAATTTCGTCAGATACCAGATTTCAAGGACTGACGAGGCTCTCAAGATAATTAAAGCAATATATGTGTCCAACTACTTCACTTCCTACCGTCAATTCAGGCGCTGATGCGAGCCAATGCTTAGGCAGTCTTTTGTATTTGGAGGGAACAAACGATATCCCAAACGTGCTTGAATTGTTACTTAGGGTGTTTACAAAACTCAGCATTTTGTCAGCATCTTTTCCAAGGAGAACTATTTCATATGAGTATTCACAATAAGTTTACATTTATTGGTTAAGGAAGTTTACACACAGTGAATTGATTTGCTTTATGCAACCAAAAGAAATAGTTGCCTTTTTTGGTAGTTTTGAGGAATGCGTAAACAGACTGAATACGGTAATTTGGAAAATAAGTCAATTTTAAAACAAGTCATTGTCTAATCTCGAAAACATATTGAGAATAGTTCTGTAAATACTTTGGAAAATAATTTTCGATACATCGCTTTGATATTCTAGCTATCAAGCGAGCAGTTTTGGAAATAGCATGCATAGCTTTCATTTGCTAGCCTGAGCACTTTCTATTTAACAATGCAAATAAGGAAGAATGCTTAGTTTAAACTGTTGTATAGATGATTCAGGCATTCGATGTTTACAGTACGATCGAATTGTTTCTTTTGTACTATTCAAACTTGTGTAAATTTTATTTAGGTTATTTAGTTACTCTGAAAAAGTGACTTAAATTAAGTCACAAAACTTAAGAAATACAATTTTCTACACTTTAGGATATCACAAAAGTATGTTTCTTATTTAATGTTACAGAAATAGTAAACGCCAACAAATTAACGGCTGTGCAGTATACATGAATCAAAGGGCACTGAACAGTAGAGATTTTAAATTACTTTCTGATGGTAAATGATGTATTTTGATGATAACTGAATAAGTTCAAATATTAGAATTAGTATTTATGAAAACGGAAATTTGAAGCGCTTCAATTTTGGAGGGTATAATTACTGAGATAATAAATGAAATGTATATGTTAAGTAACAAACGTTATTTATTTCAGGATCAACAATAGATGGGCATGAATTAAGGTCATTAACTACCGGGTAAGTGTTAATCAAGGAGCTTGACTTAAACGGTTGTACTCTTCGTTGTAGAAGTGACCCTATGAAATCGATGAACAAAAAACGGGACTCATATATTCGGTTTCCTGAAGACTGTTGTTATTCATATAAATAGGTATTTTCAAATAAGCATGTACATGTTTGCCAAATATATATTCTTATAAGAAGAACAGAGGAATTTTAGCATCAAGTTATTTATTTACCTCTACAAATGGACCGATCGCAACTTGACAATAATGTTCTAAACACTCCAGAGTTTTGTCATTGTTGCCGTCTGTCAGGCAAATGCACCTAATTTGAGCGAATTCGGTTGAAAACGTTTTGGTGCGTGAAATACTTCTCTTCATATCTTGAGCATGAGGAAGTTGTCTTTGTAGTTTATCTGACGTTTTTAGTTCAACTTCTGTTTCTAGATCGGTCGACTGACGAGCATAAATAACAAATCTCCCCAAAATCGGTGGTTCAATGCTTTCATCGTAAATGCGAGTTGCTAGCTCTGTAACCGGAATATCAGGTGGGCAATCCATCAACCACAATCTATATTCAAATATAACGAGGTGCAGGTATACAAATATTAAGAAACAAAGATGGTATTTGTTTTTGAAGAGATCATCAATGTACTGTATTATTAGGGAAAACAAAGTGAAATGGAAATTACTGCAGAATGATTACATTTTCTCTAGTCCAGCAAATATGAGTTAAACTGCAAAATTTTTACCATCACAAATCCCTTATACTAATTTGATTTTTTAATAGCAAGCACAACAAACATCGTGAAAATGAAGGGGACAATAAGTTACAATTATAACCTTTCGAGTACTGTGATGTTATTATAGCTTTAAAGAGCTTTAAAAGAAATATTTCCTGTTATAACTCGTTTTTCAGATAAATCCACATTCATCTTAAAGACGTAGTGATGTTGAATCACTTAGACTGTCTGTGACACTGAAGTTCGATCGACAAAATATGATCAGCACCAAACGACTAGGCGGACATGACATTATTATTACTATTCAGTGAACAGTCGATTATACATAACTCAAGTAGAATGAACATTGTCATTTAGGTTAAACGTTATTTACTGATTTCTTTTGAGGTCTACAGCTGTTATTTTATTACCAATGAGAAGACGGTTATCATATTTGCGTCAAGCAGTACATTTTTTTTTACTGTTTTCCATCAGTCTGTTAAACGGCCAAAATTTTAGTTTTACGTTTGTGACCTACGTTACTCATAGAAGGGGGTAGTTTGATAGTGATGACTTCTCATTTCAAATTATGAATTGTGCTCTCAATCAGCTTTAACGATTTTGATTTATACAATCAGTTGATGCTAACTGTAATAGTAAAAATGAAAAATCTATTTATACCAAATTACTTTACAGAAATTCTATATTTTCACATTTCATGAGGTGTAACCAATTTTGACATCATTTTATAATAACTACTCTACCCGCTACATTATTTCCCATATTACATTCTAGTTATTTTTACAACTTAAGCAGTTTACATCATGGATTAATCTTAGTCAGACAACCATTAAATACGAAATTCATTTGCCCCACGGCAATTTTTTTTAAAAACCCCCACCCACCCTTTTTAAAAATGTTTTTTCAACCCAAAATTGCAATATTTTTCATACCGTTTCGTCCAATGAAATGGCTAGTTTTGAAGTTCGTTTTTAATTTGTTAGTTATGTTTTGTCGGATTGCTATAAAACATCAGTACTTGTCGACGAAGTACATTTTAATCATCATTATGGAGGACAGTAACGTGCCTAGTACAAGCGCTGTTGTTTCTCACGTAACAGAAATAGAGGAAGTCTTTTTGACAACGTTGTTTCTCGTTGCGTTCCCATCGATTGAAGCGTTGAAGTCCGCTATCACAAATTATGAAAAATCATATCTGCATAAATTTATCTTTCTTCTTTTCCCTCCAATTATTTCGAATATGGTTTTTTGAAATGAATAACGTGTTTATGAATAATGACTCATTTATATAGCAATGTTCACGAGAGTACTTCTTTCATAATAACATCCAAGTGCTATTGCTTTTATTATTCACTAATTGAGTTGTATCTTTAGAATTTAAAAATTAATTTAATGAATCCGTATAAGATTCTGAATTAATATTCTGTAAATGCTTGATAAATTTGAGTAAACATTAGGTCCTACTTAATGAAAAGGATGTGATAGTTTTCCAGGATTCATGTTTTATACATGGTTCAAAAAGAAAACTAAATTCCATTATTTCATTTTATTTCAGGCCTAACTTATGCTTTATCGACCTATGAAATGAAATCTTCCTTCTCTCAGGAAATGTAAGGATTCAAGAGTACAGTAAAAGAAATGGTTATCTAAAATTTTAGTAAATTCATATCAGTTCACTTGTTATTTATTTCTATGATGAAATAGAAAATGAACTTACCTAGCAGAAACAGTTGTAGTAAATGAAACACAATCTTTATGATGTGTCATAGGTGTTGAACCAGTTATATCTTCCCATACGGCTGGATTTATTCCACCAGATAGACTACATAGAAGTCGAACTTTTGGTGAGCTGTTTGTTGTATCTGGAATAGTTTTGGCTGGATGACGTGGAACCGGTATCGTAAGTGTGATGGGCTTATGAAATTTGCGTCGTCTTGGCTCAATGCTTACGACAGGAGATACAGAAACACGACCATCCGCTAAACGGTTGATGACATCATTAGGAATAATTTGGGCCTAGAACATAAATATAAGTACCATGTCTTAAAAACTTTTATGACAATTGTGTATATCATAAAATCCTATTATACTAAGTAATATTTACAGATATTCAAATACAGTGAATGAGACTAGGTAAATTACATACTTGCAAGCCAACTTTAATTCTTTTTTGAAGTGATCCTGGAGGAAACACAGCTTGGACTTGTGGTGCTACGGTGGAGCTAATAATTCCACCATCTGAACCAATGAAAGCAACCTCTTGACGAAATCTCGAAATTAACGCGAAATATTGTGGAAGGTCGTAGGTCAAAATTCGATGAATGCGTTTGTTAAGACTTGAAGTATTCAAGTCAGAATGATCTGAGTGTCGAACAAAATATAGAGAGATCAAGAATGATATATATATTAAAGATTTACTAGATCTTAAACAAAACGTAATCAAAATGAAAATAAATTTGCTTGTAGAGTAAGAATAATGTCAGAAATAGATCACCATCCTTAATTAGCAATGTCTTATTGTTTGTCTTTGTAACTGTACTGAATAATGCTCTCAGGGATACTGGTACCAGCCTAACATTGGATGAAAATATTCACTGTAACTAAATTAGTTTTGAAGTAACGTTATTCACCACCAAAACACTGAAATACTTAAATTTAGGACTGATTAGGAGCACGGATCCATGGAGGAAAAACAGAGCTTGAAAAACATGAATATCTAGAAAATCAGGATATTGTGGATTATCTTCATTTTAGTGATCAGGAATTTTCAAACGACTTCTATGTCTGATTGTTTTTGTGTATACAACTGGGTAGATAGAATGACCAGCAAATACATCATAGCTTTATTAGACACTGTTTAGTATAACTAAGTCTATCGAACAGAAATCCAATATTACCATGTTAAGTTAACATAGAACGCAAAATCGACAATATTCCACCGTTTATAATCACTTGCAGAGGTCCCTTGGAGCCTTCAGGATGTGTTTATCTTCAATATTGTTATGTTTGTGTATTAACACACATTTAAGAAATAAATAACTGTAGTTTTATAGATCATGTATGATTTCTGTGTTTTTGAAGAGAGTGCAATTGGTGCGTTGTTAGTATTACAGCCGTATATTGTAAGTAATTACGTCAACTAGTTTCATACTTTGCATAAATTAAGTTTTGTACTTAATAATATTAATTTCTAAAATTTTGTGACCTATTTTTCACGAGCTATTACAACATCATTTAATACCCAGTTGTCATCCATCTTATAACTATTTTTGTTTAATAGTTTCTGGTCATATCTAATCAATCACAGAAAAACTTTATTCTATATTGGAGTCTTTATGGACAATTTATTTTTGAAAATAATTCTAGTGTTGATAACATTGTAAAATTATGCAACAATTATTAATTTCAATGGTTGAGATCATGAGTCAATTGAAGCTAGACCACCATGGAAAACCTGGAGTCTCACAATAAGACGAAACGGCCGTCCAGTGCTTCCACGTTTTCCATGCTGGTCTAGCTTCAATTGACTCATGATCTCAATCACTGACATTACTATAATATCCACAAAACCCTTCTGATATGGATTATTTATTTAATTACAGACTATGATACTCGAGAACACAATATTTTTGGGCTATTATCGATGCCATTTTTTAAGCGATACAAAACATCTCTATTTTGTTAAAAAATTGCTGTTTCCAAAGGTAGCCTGGAGATAGTTTCAGATTAATTACATATCCCGTTTAGATTATCTTACCGCAGTGATTTGTTCATATGTTTATAGAAGTTTTTACCAGCTTGAATGATATGTTAAAATGATTCAATAAAATAACTAAATGGGAAATAATTTTCTTCTTGTCCATTCAAGATTTTATTAGATTTTAGGCATAATAATCGCTATGATAGCTAGAAATCTGTCTAAATAAGAACTTTCGTCTAAATTTGATCGAATAGTTTCACAGTATATGGGTGCCGAGTTGATGTGAGACATTAAAGAGGAAGAATGTATTTGTAAAATCTCAGCGAATGAGTTTAAAGTTAATCCATCGTTTCGCCTGTTAATATGATCCAAGCTTTTTCAGGGAAATATAATCAAACATCAAAATGGTCGATACTATTTGTTTCGATTGTTGGATTTACTTCAAATTCATTCCCTGAGATTTTACAAATACATTCCTCCTCTTTAGAAATCTGTCTGTTGATAAAAAGCTTATCATCATAACCAAGAATTAGTTATCAAATTTTCTTGTTTACTTTCAATGACATGCATAGTCTGAACGCTGACAAAGAAATTATATACACGTAATTTTTATCAATTTTCCCTCGTCAAGTTAAGTGATCACTTTAATCTACATCATTGAAAAAGTTAAGTTCGGTGGACGCGTGATCAATAAGAAAATTGACCATACTTTCCATCCTAATATCATATGCCGACCCCAATATAATTGATGTCATTTTTTTCTTAAGTTACAATTTCATGACAATGAAACCTAATAAGTTAAAAGAAGTTAAAATGTGCAAATTTCGATATCCAATCAAAACAGTTTGTGCTAGACGGATTTCAACAGATTACAACAGTGCGCCATCTACAGTCAACAAACGGTATGTTGCTGAATATATTAGCACACATTTCGAAATACATGTAAACCAATCACTTATTACTAGACATTGATAATCATACCCCTGAAGTTTCATCAATAGGGGGTCAAGAATCACATAACTGTGGCAATAATTTCAGGCAACAGGGGTAATGTTGGAAATCATTATTTATTGAAAAAGAAGTAGTCTGTCCATTGGACGTTTGAAACTACATTTTGATTGGTTTAAGGGTAATGGAGAGAACAGTACGTCAAAATACAAGTTTAAACCCTTGTAAACTTAATTACCTCTGAATACACAACATTCAGCCAGAGCCTATAAAGTTCATTACTAGTTGTTGTTTTCATTGATAGTTAATATAAATTGAAAACAGCTGAGACAAAGTGAAGAAGTTTTCGTTTCGGCTATCAGTAACTGACACATTCTTATTTTATTTAAGTACAGACTTTTTTTAAACTGAATCATGAACACTCGTTATAACTTATGAATATCTCAGAAACCGATTATCTCGATAAACATGTTGTCACAGTTTTTATTCTTGTTGTACTTAAGATTTTCAAGACACAAAATTCCATGAGATTACAAAAACAGAAAGTTTAAAGAGCTGCCTTCCCGAAAACTCATCATACCCTCCAGTCTTTACCACGATTATCATAGATTCGAGTTATCTTCCACTATACTATTGACTACACGTTTTCAGTAAAGACTAACTTTGTACTATGAACAGTATTTTCTCTTCAGATCTCCTAAAAATGTACTACTTCAAAGTTGTCGACTGGTGAACCCCTATTTGCTATTAAAATTAAGTGTTTGGGAGAAGTAATGCTGAATGTACATGATGAAATTGGATAACTGAACTTGATTTAGTGGCTTAACAGTAATATTGTTGCTATGGGATCTCAGTTTTATACGTTTATTTCTTTAAAAAATCACATTAAATTTTTAACCCGCTGGAGAAAATAGGTAACGTAATTACATGACGACTATCTTCTTATGTTAATGACTTTCACTTGGCATACAAGTTAAATCATTAAGACAGGAACACATAGATTAAACCAACCAAGCAAAGAAAAACAAAAAGCTTACCAAATGCATCACCCAACGAATCATTTATCGCCTGCTCATTTGCTTCTAATGTGTGTTCTTTCCATGAATTTCCCGTTTCACTTCTAACAATTATAATTTCACGTTCTCTTCCTTTAACAGATGCTATATGAGGCACCTCAACAAGTATAGGTAAACTGAAGCGCATCTGGTTTGGATTCATTTCAATAATCCTATAAAAAATGTTACACACTAAGTAACAAAGCGTTGATCCTCAGATTACCATTAAAAGGAAAATTCAATTCATTAGTTTAATTACAAATGAGCTGTAAATTTCGTTTACCGTTATTACAATTGTATTTTTAGTTAATTATTGCTTTTGCTAACAATTTCTAGCTTATTTTAGATTTGGATGCAGGTTCGTTCTCTGAGCTTGGTTATTTGGTTTCAAGCTAACCGGGATTATGATTTCATTGCATTCGACTCTATTATTAATTCAGACCATAATTAAAACAGTTTAAACTTTATACAGTGCTCGTGTCTGCATTTACATCAATTTGTAGACTATAAACACTGAACGTTTATGATCTGCAATTAACAAACTTACCAAGGAAATTTGATAAGATACGAAAACGGTAACTATATTTAATAACGTGTGTCGATTTTGTTATGAGTTAAATATATTATTCCTGTTTGAATGTGTTTGGATTTGAAAATGTAAAACTGACAGCTCTTAAAATTTACTATGATGTCAAACAAGAACACGAATGATAGTATTTCAGGAAATGGTGGAGAAGATTTGTAGGTCATGTGAATGCTTTTAGCAGTAGTGCATTCTCTGGGCTAATTGCTCTAGTTAAGAAACGTTCGTTGTCGTTCTTGACAATTGTAGTAACTACTCAAAGTAGAATTGGTAAGCTACACTTGGAAACAAACATGATTCTAGTATTTTTAACTCAATGGATAAATGTTTAGACATACTCTTCATATCGAAATACCTGACTGTTAATAAAGAATATTTTTTTCAATCTATCCTCAGTATATTATTCAATCAGAGATTCTAACTGATGGTTCAGAAGAATTATAAGATTATAATAAGACGGGGGTTTTGTGGAGATTGTAGTATTTTATTATTGACTCATGAATTCAATTATTAAATTATAAGATTACCAGTCATTTAGCAGATTATCAATAACAAAAAGACAGATTTTCAGAATCTTAGACCTAACTGAAAAGTAATAAATACTCGTTTTCTTTTTTAAGATAAACTATCGCGCACTTGTGTAGTTAAAAAATGTAAAATTACTTACCGACAGGCTAAGCAATCACCGTCATTAAAAATTGGTGGATTGTCAATCGCTTCTGGGCGGAGTAAACGACAAATTATACGTAGTGGTCCAGATGGTGCATTAGGTGGTACAAGAAATCGTAAACCAGGTCGTCTTTGAGCTTCGACAAGGCCACCTCGAGCATCGATGATAAAAGAGATAAGAAACCTTTCAAATTATAGATAAACCTATAGGAACATACCCCGACTTAACTAAATTCTTCGTCGAATGCACATTATCCACATCGAAATCCCATTCTGATAGAGCGGCAGGTGAAGATGCATTAATTGTCATCTGAACTGGCTGTTGTGAAGCTGTAGCTGTTTCACCCTATATAGAGACAACACAAAATGAATGCGTGGATATTTTCGCAACATATAATTCAGTCTCAAAAGGCTATTAGTTTCTTAGTACACTGGATATTCTAAACAGTTTTCATGTTTTATTATTTTCGTTTTTAGAAGTAGTTATATGTTTTTCAAATTTTGAAATGAACGTTGTACATAACAGAGTTAGACTACAATATTTGAACAATGCTATGAGAAGATGAAGATTATCAGAATTATGTGATCGATTTGTACCTACAAATACCCAACTACTAATTCACATTGAGAAGTATTCTACCAAATTTTTAGTGTGTCATTTAATTGGCAGCTCAGAGTTTAGGGCAAGTAAATGGTAACAGATATTGAAACTGTGAGTGTTTTGAAATACCTACCCTATTCGATTTTAAGAACAGAGTTATCTATTATTTCTCTTTGTGGTTCATTTTATAATTCTTAGTAAAATATAACTTTTAAGTGCTGTTTTTATTCTGAACAGATGTTTTGTATCTTCAAGGAATTTACACTTATTACCCTGATGTGAATTGGACGACATTCCAAGTATGAGTCTGATGGGGTTTATTCGTTTATCAAATTACGCTAAATTATTGTTATATAACGACTGAAGTAAAAGTCCTCATTTTGAAAGGGACTTAGAAACAGACGGATATTTAATGTATAGTAGGTACGAAGTCGAGTGCAGGAGCTCAGACTAGTAACACTAATCCGATTCATTATTTCATAAAATGTAATTAAAAGCAGAGTGTGATCTCGTGTCATTTATGTATAATGAGGACGATTGTTGTTCAAGTTAATAAAAGGCTAAAAATATCTATGAACCGTAACGATGAACTTGTTTTTTCTATAATGCTAAACAATGCCCTAAATAAGACTGTATTAAGTATCTCCTCTTAAGCATCAGTAAATCAAGTTACATTATTGGAGAAACACGTACTTTTCCATTGAGCATTGGCTTCACACGTTCTTCGGTCATACTTTCATGAAGACCAGAGCAAAGAGTTTCACCTCCTAAGGCTTAAAATAAGTAAATGATACAACAGAAAATTGATTAGAAGGAAAGTAACTGAACAATTAATAATGTTTGATTAGCATCACAGTTACATAGTGTGGGAATTTATCTTCGTTGATAAGTATAACTTAAATGAATGGAAGTCTCTGCCTATTTGTACAGACATTCAAAAACTATAGTTGCCGGCGTCAACAATTTGTGCAAGCTATGTAAAGAATGAGTATTATTTAAATAGCTAATACAAATCATGGGTTAATTACGTTTAGCTATGATAAAATTGTATGAGACCGTTGAATAGGTAGATTTGAAAAAACATCTGCAGGTATCAAACATAGTTAAAGGTTGTTTTTGCGTAAAATTATTTGAAATCTATGTATATGCTTATTGTTCATATTATTTCAATGAGAAGTGTCAATTTTGGTTTATAGTAACGTGCTTATAGAATCGCGACTTCAAACGGAACAGTGTGTCCAATTTAATAAGCTAACAATACAATATACGGAAGCGATCAAGCGGATTCGTTCAATCGCCTTACAAACCATGACCTAATTCACAGCAATTCATGAAGAACCGCCAGGTATACAAATCCGATCTTCGTCAAAAATGTCCGCCGCTCGTAGCTAGACACCAAGGTCTCAAGGATATTCCCATTTTAAAAAAAACAAAAACAGGTACAATGAATCATGTGTAAATAGTAAGTAAAATTTATACTTCTGAGTTGAAGTTGTTGCTCAAGTTTAATTGAGACCAACGTAGAGTCAAAATGAAGTAGCTGAACCAAACCTGATACCAATTTAAAATAATCATAGTAATAACTAATTCTCATATCTGAAATGCTAGGAACTATATAGTATTACAAGGGACCATTTTTTAAAATAAAGCTGTAGAAGAACTCAAATGCACACTGTCACAATAAGAGGCTTTTGTGGATATTTCCACACATAAGAAAGCTTCAAGTCAACTGGCATGTTTTTTCTAATAGTGTCCTCTCCATACACTTTATTGGCATTTTTTGATTAAATTGGTTTTTTGTCTGATCTATTTGAGTAATTTTTATCTTGAGACATGATAGTGTTCTGAATCCAATCAATGGCGCATAATGGCTTTTATGTATTTAATTTTTTCATCGCCATTTGAATAAAAATGAGATATACATTTTCCATTAGTAAATCTACCTTATTAGGGACATATTATTACAGAATGTAAATGGGAACATATGCTAATATTCTCCTTTATATATTAAACAATATTGTTCGCAGTATAAATATAATTTAATATCAATGTCTGTTAGTTTGTATTGGTTTTGGGTGATCTATTGAATAGAAACGACTTATTAAAAAATTTGTTAAAGAAAAATGTAGCACATAACTCTGGTTACAGTACATATATTTTTCCATCCTAATACATTCAAATTACACTATTTCTGTGTTTATAAACTGTAATCATGGTACATTTTAAAGAGCAATATGTATGTTTAACATTTTACAGGAGTCCCGAAATAAATATTTCATAATCAATACATATACAAAAAAGGGTTTTAGAAGGTGAGCGAGTCACAATATTACTTTGAGTGTAAAAGTGCTAACTTTCACAGTGTTGTTTTGTATTATGATGTCAGTTTATACAAAGGAATATCTGGTATTATAATTTTCAGATTAATTTTATACAGTTGATAAAATTTCTTATCAGCTACTTTTGCAACCGCGATTATTATTTACGTGGTTGAATTATAACAAATCCTTAATTGTTTACTATGAATCATGAATCTTGCTGCAAATAAAAGATTTGCTAATAACGTTTCGAAATAATTGACATATTCTTAAGCATTTCCCCTTGTTGATATCTTACTCGCTATTATTTGAAACGAATTCTTGTGAAAACCACTACATTATTTACAGCAAACTAATATACGAAATATGCAGTCAGTATATTTAAAACTATTCTACTCACCAGTTAAATATTCAGGAATACGCAGTGTTGTTGGGCGGACTGATATGAGTTTATTATCCAAAGTTGGTGTACTTGGAATTGATGTTATATCGTTATCTGCTAATTTGATGCAGTGGATCGTATTTGGTTTATGATACAAACAACAGCAGTGTTATTATATTAACATACCAGATTCGTGATCAGCGAAGATACATTTGAGCAGTTTCATGCAGAGGAAAAACAGACAAACAAAAGTATGTACAAAATTTTAAAACAGCAGTCCTATTCCCAATGTTATTTCAAAAATGGTTTTGAGGAAGGGTTTTTGTACCATGGTGTAAGTGTTCATAAATGGAACTGTAGTTAATTAATTTATGCAACTAGTTCAATTTATAGATAAAATTATATCAAGTTCAGAAAATAAAATTTCGCTTCGCCTAAATTTCCCTTCGCTTGTTTCTCCAAGTTAATTTGGCAGAACATTTGAAGTGCCATAATTAAGGTGCATAAAGTGAAACTTTAGTCTATTTAAAGTCGTATGTCCATCAGAGATAAGGTGTGATAGGTGAGCACTGACTTCAGACACCAGTAGGGTTAACTTTTAATGTTTGGATGTAAAGTGACATCCATCTGTTAGCATACATACAACCGGCAATCATGAGAAAGATGTTTTCAGTGTTAAGCTGTGGACACAAACAAATCAATAGCAGTAAATGAGAATAAAAATAATTTAAAGCTCACAAATATGCGCTGATTATTCCTCATATCCTAAGGGTAATAAGCTAATAACTGCTTGGTTTTTTTCTTAACTGTGGAACTACTTTTAGATGAATACATTAGAGTTTAAGCCTAAGCAGATACCAGAAACTATTATCTTGCAACTTTGTCAATGGGCAACATGACAATTTTGTTGATCTGTCACTAGGTTTAACTGACAATTAGGCCCTAGTTTTGGTGCTAAAAGTTTGTATGAATGAAACCATGCATACGTACTCATCTCACCAAGTTAAGTATTTGGTTTTGAGTGCATTGTTATAGTGATCGACAGGTATGTACTTAAGTCCATCATTATATGTAGATCATAGTGAATTTGAGAGGAAAAGTAATATTTTGTCTAAATTCAAGTAGTCTGATTACTTATCTGGACAGTATTCTGTTTTGAATTATTTTTTACATTAGGAGAAATAAATGTATTTCAACACTTTGTCTTTCGTACAGCATCTATGGTAAGTAACAGCAAGAACAATTGCTGAGACCATGATTTATGGACGATCTTTGAGCGACTCCAAAGTGATCTTGAGAGTGTCTACCTACTTACTAGGGCTAAATGAGGGTTATAAAGTAATTTGAAGAATAAGGAATATGATTCACAGTTAATGATTGAGTTTAGGAATTAGATTTACGGTTTTTCATAACGAACTGACAAGACGCTATTTAGACAAGTGGGTGTGTGAATTTCGCGCCCAAATCCAAGACTTGTTAATGGAGCAAACAAAAAGTAGTATGAGAAGTTATTTCACGACTTGTCATAGGGTTATGAAATCACTCATTGTTGGTGTAAGTCATTCGAAAAGTTTTAGATATCCTGTTTATGGTTTCAAATCTTAGATTACATTTTTCATAGTATTTTGCATTTAAACCAAACAGCGCATTCATTATTATCCTCTTAATCATGAACACGATATGATGCCAAACGCTTCATTCTTTACTTTCATCTTTCTATTGGAAATCTTCATTGTTTTGACTTGACTATTATTGCGTTGTTACTATTTTCTTTCCTAGCTTTCCCCTACAGGTTGTCGCTCCTTGTAGTGATGTGAACTCTGATAACCTGAACCAATACATACTGATATATATATATAGCTTACATTGTTAATATAGATTTATATAAACTAAAACGTCCATTTAATTGTTTATTTGTTATACATACGAAGAATATGTTTCTCTTGTAAATCATTAACTTATATAGCCAAAAGTTCAAATTAATGATCCAAAAGAGTTACAAGGTAAGCATAAACAAGTTTCTTATGCTTGGTTATTTACATCTTTTACCAAACCATAAATTTAATAGTGTAAGCAATATAAGGCGGTCAACGTTTTGAAGTTATTGAGTGGACTAGTAAGTCAAGTAACATTGCGAGACGTTACACAAGTGAACCATTTACTCATCACCCCCTATTTTAATTACGTATTTTAAATCAAATTAATAATTTCATATTGTTATTTGATCACAAGCTTGAATGAAGCAATCAACGCATACTTGTCATCACAATATCTACCAAACTTTAGCAAACCTACTTTACTTACGTATGTAACTGGCTAATAAAAATGAGTTTGACCCCAACTAAAAAAAAGTTCTTTATCATTATTTGAAATTGTGACTGTAGGACTCGACAGTAATTCATTGAAAATTATATTCTTAGTTTATTAATGTATTTAAGTGTAATCGATTTTTTCACCTATTGTCTTTATCAGTGCTATAAATAATTCACTGAGTAACTACCAACACTCTACAATTACTTGTCTACATTTTTAAATGCACTGAAAATGTCTCGTGTAGTTGACAATGTTATGAATTTTGGCTACCATGGTTTTAAACGTGATTAGATGTTAGTCAAATGTAGAAATTTAGCAAGGTAATTCGAATGAACAATAATCATAAATAAAACCCTTCAAAGTCAAACATTTATACGTAGGGCAAATGTATTCGGCGTAAAACTCCTACCTGGTTCATCTAACGTTTCTTTACGTTGTTCAGGATATCGAAACATTGCTGGTGTAGATAAAAGGTCGGCTGCATATTAACACAAAAATACCATCAAAACAACATTTATTAATTACAACACTTATAGATTAAGATATTCACATAGAAAAATGTATTTCTTATGCGGTTTCTATGATCGTGTATAATAGTTTCTGAAATTATTGATTATTTGTAAAGTTAACTATGAGTATTAGTACTAATTTATTTTATGTAAAGAATGTTATAGACTAATACTACGAGATTCTCTCAAAACGATGTCCCATTTTCAAAACGTGAATCTTTATTAAATCAAATAGAATTCATTTTAGTGGGAAAGAAATTTGTGTTTTACTGCATTGAACTGAATTTTACTTCAGGTACTGAATGACAGTTCTTACTAATATCAGGCTTTTTTGGACACATTTCTCAGTTGGTAACTAATATCCTAATTACTTCCCTGTAATAACAAAAAAATAAAGAAATCATATGAATCACAATAAATACTAATGCATGATCTGAATCCTTTTGTTTCAAGTAGATGCTCCTTAGAAAGACGAGTAGAATAGTCTTGTCCTTCAAGTGCTAATATCGAATAGTATATTTTTTAAACATAAATTAATCTGCTTAATATTCTAATTTGCTATTTTCTCACTAGGTTAACCATTTCCTTCACCGTATTCATTGTTACTGAAACTATCATTAATGATATGAGTGGAAAATATTACTACCGATTCATGACTGCATAAGATTTTTTCAAAGATTCTGGATCTATTTTCATTGTCAAAATTAAAATCCTTAGTGTTAAAAAAATTTCATTTAATGAATAAGTATAAGCAAGTATAAAGTTGTGTTCAGAAGGGACATGCTCCATACGGGTTAAAAATTATTGATATCAGTGAATGTCTAATAATTAGTTGCTCTGATGTAGTGCGTAAGGTGGTTACATAACTACTGCTGAATGAAACTAAATAGAGCAGTGTATTTTGTACAGTAATTCAATAATTTATTTGACAAATAATTCAGTTTTATAGTAAAAAAATTAAAAATTTTACTACCTTCATCTTCACTATCTGAGATCATATGATCAGTCATATATTCCGCTTTTTCTAAGGGCATTACACCGTGGATTAGATTTACATTATCATCTATTCCATTTGAACTAGGTAAACCTCCGTCACCGTCATTAGTTGTAACTGATTGCAACAGTTCGAACAAGTTCAAATAATGCTGCTTATGAGCTAATTTTGCTGCTGTCCATCCTTGCTAAAAAATCAAAAGTTATGAAAATTTAGCCGGGCATTATTTACATTTAAACAATATCAACAAAACTCTGTAACTAGACATACGCTTGACCTAAAGAAATAATGTTCACAGGCAAGTATAAACATTGAAGTTATAATTAGTGTGATAAGATTTTTTTAAAAATTACCTTATTACAAATGTTTGGATCAGCTCCCATTTGAATCAGTTTTAGAGCTACTTGTAGATGACCTTGTTGGGCTGCCAAATGCAGTGGAGTTGAACCCATATGAGTGCGACTGTTTATAACTTGCTGAAGTTGATGTTCAGGGACACATGATAGAAGTAGACGAACAGAGGCGAGCTGTCCCCTATAAGCAGATGAATGTAGCGGTGTAAACCCAGCTTTCAGTGTCTTCGTATCAATGGATGCGCCTGAACTTAATAAATATTCGGCTACGTTAGCTTTGTCTTCCTGTACCGCCAAATGTAGTGGTGTTAAACCATCCTATAAAAGTGATATATTGTAAGTATATAGAATGAGATAAAGAAATAAGGAATTTAAGTTCCTAGATCTAAGCATATAATCAGCTTAACGATCAATCTCTTGAACTGATCACTGTTAGAAGACGGGTAAAACAGAAACGTTGTATCCATAATTCTGAAGCCGACAGACCTGGTTTAGTACAGTCTTAATGGAGTCTGTATATTTTACATTCAGACTTTGATTACCTTTGGGCAATTTTCAATCCAATGAAGATGAGTCATTCACGAAATTCAAATTTGTTTTTGGATGGTTAAGCTTATCCTAATAAATGAAATATGTATTGAGCTATTCCTCAGTACAAAAAAAGTGTAAATTAAAAAATAAATGAAAGTGGATGCTACTTCTTATGGGGATATCAGTTTGTCTACACAACACATACCTTGGCTGCAGTATTCACTTGAGCTTTGTATTTTTCAACAAGAACTTTAACTATTTCGATTTGACCATCTTGTGAAGCTAAATGAAGTGGTGTATAACCGTTCCTTGAACCCTTATCAGTTACGGCTCCTTTAGATGCTAATAAATGGATTGAATCTAGATTATTTCGTTTGGCTGCCAGATGAAGTGGTGTAAAGCCATTCTTAACAGGTCGATTGACATCACCTCCAAATTCTGTCAATTTATCCAACATCTTTAAAGTAAATGCAAAATTAAATATAAGTTTCAACTGATTTGACGTTATTGTCAAATGAAGAAAATCACTAATGTTTTAGGAATGATTATGAATGGAATAAACAGTCTCAACCTCACAAACTTGGTGATCATAACCCATAATCATATATAGTTTGCATGTTTAGGACTAAAATAGGATCAACAGTAAGACAAGTGTTAGGTACTCATGGTGGTTTAAGTTGTAAGTAGATAGTCATAGAAGTTAATCCAAAGTTCAGTTAATTGAATAATAACTCAGTTGATTATTTTGCATGAAAATCTAACAGGTAGACGAGCCCGAACAGATCCCAGATTGCTGCAATACCAGACTGATTAAGTGCTCTTGCAAGGTCGCACGGTGCTCGTGAAATAAAAATTGGGATAGGCCTATCGTGAGCAAATTATCCAACTGTCTAAAACGATATTAAAACATGGAATATTCTTTTCAAGAAACTCTCATCAGGTTCTACATTTGTAAGTAAAATTCTATGACAGCTTACTCAGAAAAAAACTCTCTTCATTCATGCGTCCGTGGATTTGTAAATTATCCACCAAACCCAAGTCGCGGCCTACATTCCCTTGATTACTGAAGCCTTTTACTCACTTTTAGTCTTCACCTTTCCATCAGTCAGTCGGCTACAACGTAGGACCAGGCACATATATGCATCGGTCCAAGTTGCCATACCTCATTAACATAACAAGATGGACACCGGATTCATAATAGTTAATTCAGAGGTGGTAATATATAAAAGAAAGATTGCAATAAGGATATAGTACAGGAAGAAAGAATTAGTTTGTAGAAAGAAAGATATGAAGTGATTTTAATCTCGTAGTTTAAGGGAAGACAGAGAGTGTATACACCGACGCCACTGTGATCGATTCTGAGCCATGTCACTCACCTTTCTATAGCTGTCGACTGCTCCCTAGTTTTCAATGGTTATCTAACTGAAGTCAGTTCATGATATAAAACATCTAATTTCTTATAAACTTCGTTTATTTATGGTCAATGTGCTAAGAAATCGTAGTCTCTGAGTTTTACTTTCTCCATGATCCTCTACTTATAGAAGAAATCATCAATAACAACTAATTAACGGATGAATGGTATTTAGATCACTTTCGTCTGGTTATCTGCTATTGAAGAATTAAATTTATGATCCTCATGTGCTCACATTACTTTATAGTATGTATTAAACTATATATTGGAAAATATTCGTCCTTATAAATCTGACTGATTTCCGCATTTCTCAAACTCAGGGGATGTTCCTCAAGTATCAGTTATCCAGTTCAAGCAAATTTTTTAAAGATATAATTATTTACGAAACAATTATTATGTAAACAGAAAATACCCATTGAAACATAAAATAAGACTGGTTCAGCGAAGAGTTCACTTCAGCAAATTCATTTTCAAAGCTATACAATTCCAAATATAATTATTTCTCAAAATGATAACTATTACGATTATAGTGACAATTAAATTTCGCTAAACATGGTAACAGTGAGCCAGAATAAATAAAAGCATAAATATGTCATTTTTATTAAGGAAACTACCTCACCGTTACCATGTTGAGAAGGATTTTATTATCACTAATAATGGAATAACTATTTAGTTGATAAGACATTAGTAAGGTATAGTGGGCCTATCTTATTATTATTATATGTATGGTTTTCTGGTTAGGATTTAATTCGACCAAATAGAATGCTGCAGTTTAAAAATTTCCATAAAATATTCAAAAAAGAACAATTTTTCTCAATACTGGTTTTAACCGTTTGGATATTACTTCGAAAGGGGTTTCTAATCTCTTAGAATTGTGAATTTATTTCAAAACACTACCTTTGGAATACATCAGATGTTGCTATTGCATCTAACATTATTTTGCCTTATTTGTATCGACATTACTGTATATAAATTAAATGGTTCTAGCTATTTTGACGTGATCTTAAATCAAAGTTAAACTAGCTCTCATCGTTCTAGATGAAATATTTGAAACAGTTAGAATTTACATTTAGACCATCTACTTTAGTCTCGTTTTATCGATTATTTGTTTCAGGAATTTGGGTAAAATTTAAAAATTTGTATTTTAAATAGATTCGAACCAGCAATATTTATGCTATCAGACTGATACTCAAATTTTAAAGTCTATTTATTTTTGTAATTCAGTATTGTTACGTAGCTGTTGTATGAATGACAGACGCTTAACTATTCAATTTGTGTCACAAATTGAAGCTTGAAAACATTTTCGATGAGACAGTTTATTTTATTAAATGCAACTATTAATTATTATTTATATCACTAATAGTTCGCGACCCACATAGGAATATCGTTGGTTTGAAATGTGATTTACAATTCGTAAACCGTTTATAGCCCACCATTTTCGACCCCTAGAATCAGTTCCTTTCCAATTATTTAGCATTGATTGACAGACCAAATTTTATATGTACAAAAATAATACTATAAACAGTTAACCTAACACTAATTTATTTCTAATTATTAAGTCAAACTTGGTGCTGATACTTAGTGAATTCTATGATTAAAGTCTAGAGGTATCCTGGTAATAGTAAACACCCTCTATGATAGTCTAGTTTCTAGTTTCGTCCTGTTCAAAACATTACGTATGTTAGCACTTAGTAACATTAAGCTGTTATGAAATCATGTTGATAAATTCATTTGTTTTCGATTATTAATTAAACATTTCTGACAAGAACTATTGTTGAATTACTCAACTACAAATATAACTCATCTTGGTACCTGAAAATTAGTATTTAATATAATAAAAGACAAATAATGGCATGGCTGAATAAACGAAAATGAAGCAGCAGTTGAACGCTTACAAAATCATGACAACTTACTTTGTTATTATTGTAATATGTGGCCACATGTACAGGCGTGAAGCCATTGGGACCAGTTGCGTTCGGATCAGACTTTGCTCTGTCCATTAACAAGTGAGCTGTTTTGCATGAACCATATTTTGCTGCTAAGTGTAAGGGTGTAAATCCTTTCTGTTGAAAATAAAATTTGCAAATGTATTTATTAGAATAACTAGTAAGTGTAACACGTGAACCAAACAAATCATTAAGTGAATTTATGCTACCACAACTATGCTGATAAAACAACGAGGGATTGGTTTCGAAGTCTAAGAAACGCTGTTATTTATATGAAACTATATTTTCTATTTAATTATTCAGGGTGTTATGTTGACCTAATTTGTTGTTCATCAAACCTTTTGTTAAGATTTCATCCGATCTCATATACTTGTCAATCTTTTATAACAAATAATAAGATATTAATTAGTTTGTAGACTTTATTTTTTGTCGCTTCCGAAGAATGTCGTCACCAAATTACTTGTAATTTTTAACCAATTAGTCTCATGAACATGCATACTAAAATATCATATATGTTTAGAACATGGTTTGTGATTTCATTTTAATGGACTGATTTTGAATATGTGAATTACCGTAAATAAGTTCGAAGCTCTGTATTCTAGTAGGGCTTTCTCAAAAGCTGGCTGATATTGATTAAGTGCTGAGAATGAGTGATTGTTAGAATGCGTCCTAATTAAACATGGGGAAGTGTACAGTAACATATTATTAACGAATTAGTTATTGGCATCAAATCAATCGGTGAATAAATCAGTTTTTATTTCTCAATTTAAAACTTGGTTATTAAAAGTAGAGCCTGCTTAAGAAATAAATAGACAACATTGACTCACCTTTGTTTTAACTTCCGGATTAGCATCGTGCTCAATCAATATTCTAACAATATCTTCTGAGTCTTCTTTAATAGCCATGTGTAATGGTGTATAATTATCTTTTGTCATTATATTAGGATCAGAACCAGCATTCAATAACAATTCAACAATTGGCAGATAGTTTGTACGGACAGCGACATGTAAGGGTGTTTGATTATCCTAATAAAGAAGAAATATGTAGTCAAGACAATCTGCAAATAATTTTATTTTCTATAACATGACTATATTTTCACTGTATTAAAGTCATTTCATGTTTTGTTTGTTTCATAGTAAAGATGCTTGATCACATGAAAATTGAAGCTTAGTTCTTATTCTTTTATTCACATTGATATAATCAGATTAACATAGGTCATGATGCATTCCTGTCTTTGCTTGTAGTAAAATAATTCAATCGGTATTATATCCATTTTCAATTTAGTAGGTGTGTGGGTAAATCTTTTAGATATCTTATTTTCTGACTGAACATAGAAAGGTTTCCTCACTCTAGATTTATTTCAGAAATTAGTAGATAGTTATCGAGTATATTGAGTCTAGATTACTTTCAATCATTAACTATAAGCCTATAAACATAAACTCTTACAGTAAAGTCCACTTCAACTGATTAATATACAGTAGACTCATAGTTCGTTCGCTACTAGTAATCTGGACTCATACCTATATCCGATGCATCTATTAGTTAGCGAATGCTGGGGGATCCTGAAAAGTAAGCAACATTCTTCACTAAAAGAGTATGAACATTTTTAATATGGGTGTTGAATGAGGGTCAAACTAAGTGATGTTAAAATGAACGGCCTTAGATATTGACTACATTTTGTGTTGAAATTGTTCCAAAACTTTCATTATCTACCTAAAAAGCAAATGTATTCAAATCCTAATGGTTTTATCTTACACGTCAATAACTTACTCTTGTACGGCAATCTAAATTTGCCTGGTAACCAAGAAGAGTTTTCACTGTCTCCAGTTGTTTATTTCTAGCCGCTAAATGTAGTGCAGTTTCATTACGCAACGTTGTTTGATTCACATTCGTACCATGTTGTAAAAGAAATGAGACAATGTCTGTACACCCAAAAAATGCAGCCACATGTAATGGAGTGAGACCAGTCTGACATTTCAATAAAATGTAGATGAATAGAAAACAAAATGATCACTTTCAAAGTTATTGTTATTTCAGTAAATGTGTTTTACATATTTGGTTTTTTAAGAGTGTAAAATAAATTTAACCTTTGAAAATCTGTTTTAAAATATTCAGGGGAACACAAAGATGACTGAAAACTTCTTGGTGAACTCAAAAGCAAAAGGTATCTGTAACGAAAATTCTTTGAACACAAAATTTATATTAGACGAGGCTGACAGCTGAAAACTCTTACACACCAAAAGTGTAATTATAATTCTCCTTATATTTCTCCATCCAAGTGATAAACTGCCTTACAAGATGCTAAATTTTCTATAGCAAGTTCCGTTTATTATTATTTAAGTAGACAGGGATTAACTGTATAATATTATTCCTTAACACTGTATTGCTCTTTAAAGTACAAACAGTTTCACTACAACTCGATGGTTGCTATCTGTTTCGCATACTTCCATGCAAAACAATTGTGAAAATTTTGACCATTGTAATTTCTACAGACATTTCGAATAGGAAAATTTAAATTTCACAAATAATTTCCGTGTAAATTTGGAACGTGGATAACACATTATTCTGGAGAAAATTCACGTAATCCGATTGGGGATGAAGCCATTACTATGCTCTCGGATGATAAAGAACTGCAGTCAATCCATGACTACTTCAAAACGTTCTCCACTGTGCAGGAAAAATGTCGTAAGCGGAGAGCTTCAGGGATGTTGTAGGCTTTAATTGATTTTAAAATTAAGGGGTTTCAACGTTTGTTCGACAAATAATTTGGGGTTAATTAGTGAAAGCATTTATCTAGGAATGTACACCAATATCCACAGACTTTTAAAAGCAAGTCGATAAACCTCAAGAAAAGCAACAAAATAATTGGCAACTACTTACCTCCGTGGCTGCTTCAAGTAGAGCGCCATATTTAAGAAGAACTGAAGCCATTTCAACTCGTGACTTTTTGCATGCGATATGAAGTGCAGTAAACCCATTCTGTATAAATAGCAAAACAAAATGTAGGAACTCTAAACAACAAACATAGATAAATTGTTTAAAGGGGGAAACTACATATCTCTTTCAGAATAAGGCTAGAAAACTAGTTATCGTTCATCTGGGTGAATTTAAGAAGGGATCCTTTTGTTAGCCCCGCTACGTGGCTTTCTCGGAATATTAACTGGTATGAATAAAAGCTAAAATAAACAGCTACTCACTGAGACAACTTATTGAAATTCTCATTCATTGGGTTGTTATTATTATTAATGTTGTATATGCATCGATTGTATTTGACCTGGATACAAAATGGTTATGAAGGCTGAGAGTAGACGATTTGGGGTTTCCAACGTCAATCATTATTTCTTTGACCATGTTCACGTTTAGTGATTTAAAATAAACAGCCTAAGTTGGAGATAATTATAAAATGATTTTCGACAGTTAAATAAGCTGTTTGAAAATCCTAGAGGTACTGAAAACACAGAAAGATGGATGAAGAATATTCTTTCCAACAAATTCTCTTCAAGCTACGTAGTTATACATATATCCAAATCAATCAAACAAAAAATTACTGAGTTTAAGGCAAATACATCTTTTGAAACTATGAAATGTGAATTTAGGATCGTTCGGAAAAGAAAATAAACTGATTAAGCCTGAAATGACTAGCATGTATTGTTAACTAGAATCAGTATATGAGTCAGTTGGATTTGTGAGATTATTAGTTAGAATAAATATGGATAACAAGAAGTGAGAGAAATAATAATGTGGGTATAAATTGCATCAGATGTTTAATGTAAGATAACTTAGTGCAGGAAATGGTAGGAATTAAGTAGGAAACAATAAAATGGGGTTAATCCTAACTAGTTTCTTCATGTGCTTACAAGACTAATAATAATGGTGGACATAATAATAATGATAATAATAATAATGATAATAACGCAAGGTCATGTGAAATAATAATAATAATACTGGTAGTAATAATAACAATTACAGTAACAATATTCGAATAACAGGAATTTGAAATATGAAAATACAAAAGGGGAAGACCGAATGTATATTGGTGAAACTGATACGACCACTGGCCTATTGGGCCTGAGATGGGTCAGGGTAAAAGAAGAGACTAAATAGATTTGTTTTGTACACGAAGCTTCGGTCTTTCAATCTGAATAACTAGTGCTTCCACCATCCCAATAACTTTGTTTGACGTTTTTGGCATACAATTGCCAATGCGATAAACTGCCAAAGTGATTGATTTGTGTTGACGCTGCATAAACTATTGCATAGATTCGCTGTTCCATTCTGTTTGTCATTATAAAATTTATAACTGATGTCAAATTTCATACTTTTTTCACTTTTGATTATTGTGCCTCGTTTGTTTTTAATTTCACTATTATGTATTCTGAATATAATTTAAGTATCACCGTGGGCTTCAGTGTTTTTTTAACGCTCAATAATCCAAACATTTTTCGGCTCTATTCACAAAGCTACTAAGCGAATATTCATTGGGGCGATTTTAGAAGACTTGCGATTGTATCACTCGTTGCTATATCGTGATAAAGAGGAGTTCTTCAACTAAAATCTAAGTTCAATTTCAAAGTCAGTTTCATAATTTGTCAGTCATAAGCATTTTCCCGTACATATAACCCTCTAGATCACTCTCCAACCTTTACAGTACACAGTTTAGTTTACAAATGAACTAAATAATTATCTTCAGCAGCTGGACTAATCTGGATATTTGTTTTTGCCTTTCTGATAAGCCTTCAAGTGATAAATTTGTTCACGTTCCTATTTTAGTATAAGTAAATTTTTACTTTACCAGTTATTGCTTTGGTTGACTTACCAGAGCTCTTGCATTAACATTACAATGGGAATTCAATAAAGCACGAGCCACGTCCACGTTACCGCAATGGGCTGCAACATGTAGAGGGGTGAGATAATCCTATGAGACGAAAAGACAGAGGTGATTTAAATGGTCTGATAAATAGTTAAGTTTTTATGCTTTATATTCTCGGTAGTATCCTCATTTACGGTTAATTATTAATGGGTCATAAGTAAACTCGTTGTTAACGAGTGTTATAGTTGAATTATTGTTTCACACTTGGTTAATATTAAATAAAACATTAATCGAAACGAATTTTTATAAGATTTTTGCAATTTCTATTGATAATTATCGCTACCTCCAACTCAAACAGTATGTGAACTACATAATTCTTGGTAGCAAAGGTTGTTCAGCATTCTCTTCCCATAACTTGGAAATTCGGAAGACTTTAATGATTTGTACATCGGTTGTCAAAGAATGCAACGAAAATTTGTTGGTAAATTGACGATACTATGAATGAATGTTGTTCAGATGACTAAAGTAAGATATAAATATCAGTTAACAATTCCTTTTTATGTTAGACATACTGCTGATGATAACAGGTGACCATCTTACATAAACGCAATTAAATTCAATTTATAACGATACTTAGTTGTTTAGGTACCAGTAGATGCTTTAGAAACAGACAATAACAGGTGCAGTGCTTAACCATTAGACAATAACGATTATAAGGGTTTGGTACAAACCTTTCAAGTTTTCTTATTTTGTATATTTCCAAATGAAAAAACAAAATGACGAATTAAGAATATTTTTTGAAGAGTACTTTCCTTCACAGTGTAATAATGTTTCTTCAGCCACAGATTTCTTTAAGACTTTTCACGAAACATGACATCGAAGGCCAAGATCCCTCGAGGATACTGATTTATAACGCAAGATTCTAAAAATGAGCTTGACTTGAAGATTGTCTCTATTCTGAGACAATGATTGAAAGGTTCCATGTCTAGTTATTTCTGACGTCAAACAAGTTTACTTTTGTTATTTGAGTGGAAATAATGTTATTTAAAGTTTGTTTTACAAGTACTTGTATAAAATCTGCTCTCAAAACAAATGACATCCTTTAGAGAGAAAAGTAATCGATAAATCAAGGTTAAGATGAAGGAATATTTAAGTAGGTTATTTCTAATTGGTAGAAGCATGCTATACTATCAAAATATCGGTAAAAGTAATTATAAGTTGTTATGGTAACACAAATTATTATTAGAAGCAACACTAATTCAACATTTTCTTTGGTCTTAATGTAGTATGCCTTAAATATTATTTGTAACTTACAATGGTCACATCATCCGGATTAGAACCATTCCGCAATAGTAATCGTACAACACTTTCATTAGCACCTTGTGCAGCTAAATGCAATGGCGTCAAGTCATTCTGCCAAGAAAAATGTACAGAAACATATGAAATAGAATTACGTATTCAAATGTTGTAACATTTATCCTAAGAATATTAAGTATTGAATTATTTTTTATAGTTTCTTCACTTCTTAGAATTTATTAACTACCTCATCTAAATATCACAAAGAAGAAAAGTATTTTATATACTCTAGTCACAATGATGATTCTATGTATCATCTTTATAAAAGATTAATAATAAAAGTGTGGGAATTATCAGTACCACTTATTCAACTATTTTCCAAGATTAAAAATGAACATGTCAGATTTAACTTTACAAATTTTGGAAAGAAAGCGTGCGAATCTCGTCAGTATTTCTACTGTGAAAACTTGATTAAAAACTGATAATTAGATAGTCCACATCTCAATGAACCTTTGTATTGTTTTGATATAAATTAAATAATTAAAGATAAGGTTATTAATAACTTGTGATTGGTATTGAATGATAGGGTCTTGATGTATAGAAAACTTGTAAATCTGTTTGAAGATTTAGTTTGATGAAAATTTAGTGTAAACAAATTACACAACAGTCATTTCTTTTCATGTTACTTTGATCTTGTATAACACTAAATATTGTCAGAATATTTCTCCAATTGTCACGAAATGTGTTTGCCAGATAACGGTCAAATGCCATATTTTATTGAGATGAGTAAAATAATTTGACTGCCCAATCTCAATAAAAATTTCTGATGTATATTTCTAGTATCGGATATCAGTTCAGCTCTTCTAAATGTTTGCGAAAATCCCGAATGCATTTGAAGTTTGATGGTGGCTTAATAGGTAATATATCAGACTTTTAAACATAAAATTTCAGTCTTCTTTCCTAGAAATGTAAGTTACTTATCCAATTATTCAAACAAGTTATTTTATAATATCCAATGTAGTGATCTGTTAAGTCGTTAGTCAACAAATTAACACGACCAGCCATTCCTATCGTAATTTACCGACTGTCTTAATCAAAATACAGTAAATTATATATAGGTTTTATATAACTTCGGTTTAAAAAATAACATTGTCAATGTGAATGACTACTCTACTCCGGTCATTACTTTTTAAATAAAGTACATTTTGTTAAAGATATGATTCCCTGTTAGCATCAGATGACATACTTAATATATGCTAAGGTGAAAGGTTATGTCTAACCTCAAACAACTGACAGTACGACTTGTCATATTTATTCAGTATTCACATTATTTTCTATAAACTATATACTAATTAAGTTGTACATCATAGAAAAAGTGTGGAAAGTACCTTTGTTTTCAAAGTGTGATCAGCTCCATTTTTCAATAAATATTCCACCGTAGCAGTTTGACCCGCACGAGATGCACAGTGTAAAGGTGTTAGTCCATCTCGCGTACGACTATTTACTTCAGCTCCTGCTAGTATCAATTCGCTTAGAACTTCGTTCTTTCCCCATTTAGCAGCTACATGTAACGGTGTTATACAATTCTGTTCCATCATATATAGAAAGAAATCAAAATTATGATTAATACTTCATATTTGGGACATCGTTTATGTAAAACGGACACATTTAGATAAAATCTTCCTTTCATTTCATTACACAAACGTTAGCATGATTTTTTTCCAGGGATTTGAAGGAAATTGACTCATATTAATAAATTTTTCAACTACTGTGTTACCAGCTTATGTCAATTCCATAGTAAAAACTCAAATGAGAAATCCTTCAACTATAGTTTCCAGTCAAGTGAAATGTAAATGAATTGAAGGTTATCCAAGACATTTATGGATATAATTACAAAAGAAGCAGGGGAGTTGAAACTACGTTAACCCTACAAATAAGACAAGACGCTAAGATGTAAGTATAATTATTAGACTATATATACCACATAATTAACATTTGTGTCACAGCACCGGAGACTAAGAGTCCATATAATCAATCACTGAGGTCAGGGAAGTGCACATATTTTCTTTGTTACAGATACACCGTGTGAATTATCAATACGAGTTATGAAGATCAGTTGTCTCAGGTTCTGAATATTAATCTAGGTTGACAAAGATTCATAGAAATTCATAGGTCATCTATTTAAACAAAACGTTCTTACTTACTATGTTACTTCCACAGTTCTCAATGTCTTCTATATAAGGTGAGAGATAAAACGGAAGTTCTACAGTATAGTAATTTTATTAATTTGACCTATAATTCACTGGTGACTGGTTATATGTAGAATAATTACTAACAATATTTCTTTCATTCTTGAGTATCTATTATCAAAATTCATTAGTGACTATGTCATATGGTGTAACACTCATTCAGGCAAAACTGAAGAATAGATTTTCCTTACGTAAGTTAAGTAACAGACTTTAAAAACCTATTTTACTTACATGCTAATAAAAATGAGTTTGATCCAAAGTGAAATAAATTCCTTTTTGTCATTAACTGAAATTATGACAGTAGGACTTGACAATAATCCATTGAAAAGCGTATTTTTCTTTTTTTTTATAGGCAGTTCAACATAGTGATAATTTTTAAAAATTAGTTAATCTAGTTTTAAAATGCAACCATCTTGAGAAATAATTTATCATTGTATTCCCTGAAATAGATAATATATTTCTCAGATAACTAACGACTAATAGGCTTTTAACTTGCGTTCCTAAAGTTTTCAACATCATTGATTGAGAATACCAAACTCTTTTGAGTTCATAACCTAGCCATAATCCATTCTTGTCCTAACTACTCTTTTGGTTCAATACTATATGTATACATGAATAACTGAAATGTCATTGAGATCAAACTTATCAACTGGTCAGTACTGATCTGATTATATATTATCTCTAAAACTAATTGATTCTTTAACAAGATACTGGATCGAGTAATGATAAAAACGGGACTTACTTTTGCCTGGTAATTAATATTCGCTCCTTTCTCAATCAACAACTTAGCTATATTAACATTCCCATAGTGAGCGGCAATGTGTAAAGGAGTAAATCCACTCTGTAAAAGTATAATGACATCACAAAATTAACAAGTAAACGTGCTATACTGCTATGAAACAAATGATGAATGAAAGTCTATATAAGTAATAACTTAAATGAATATCATAAATGTGTATATAACAAGGTTCTAGTTTTAATTTTATATATGGTTTGATTAACTTAAACCATTTCAACTTTAAAACCTCTCGATGCAATCTTAATTAATTCAGTTATATGTCAGTCATAGGCTAGCATTTTTCAGCATATTTATCAAGGGCATGACAGGAAGTAATACAATCTAAAGAAGTAAGGTTGACATCCATGACTGAAAAAATATTATGTATATTCTGTTGTCACATTACGCAATTCCGTCCAAAATATTTATCGAGAATATGTAAGAAAGCCTTTTAAATCAATGCTTTAGGTTTTTAGGTGATATCCTCATGAGATTCTATCATATAACAGTGGTATTTATGATAAGAAAGAAATCAAACTGAAAATAAGCGTTCGAACACATTCTTTGAAGGTAGCGATCCAGAAATGAAGCTTTGGTAACACGTTTCGACATGTTTAGTTCTATTTCCAGGGGGCTAACTTTTCGATGTACTTCGTATTCGCTGTGGATTCATGTAGATACAACGAAGAAACTGTGCTGTATAATTTACTGCATTACGAAAAATTCAAAATGTTTAATTCATCACTCATTGTTTTGTACGACTTCATTTAACAGTCCTATTCATATTTGATTAAATTAATATTTATCAAAGTGGTACGGTTACTGATTAGTCCATAGTTATACGATTATTCCTCTTCAATAAATAAACTCAAAATAATATCCATCACAGGCAACTTTATTATAATATTGATAACGCAGTCGAAATCATCTTTATTTGGTATGTAAAACAATATGTAGTATCTGCAAAAAGCACTCACAGCCGATGTGTGATCCACATTTATTTCGCTGTTATTGAGTAACAATTTAGCAGCATGAACATCATCTTTCTTCGCAGCAATATGTAGAGCGGGTAAGCGACTTTTTCCGCGAGAATCCCTTTCCAGTAGCAGACTTATAACACGATCATGTCCTTGCTGTAGTGCCACTGCAAGTGGTGTGAAACCATCCTGAATAAAGCAAATAGGGAAACATGATATAGTAAATAAGCATTAATTTGGGAATCTCAGTGTATAGAAAATACAAAACGGAAACATTTTAGTTTAAAGTTGAGGTTATACGGAATTAGTGATATCGACAAAAAAAACTTCTTCACCAAACAGAATGATAAATGTATCTGTACTGTTATACGATAAGTACTACCAGAAAGATTGTTTCACATTGTTTCTTCATTATTAGCTTATTTGAAAATAAACTGTAATTACTTTCGTATTCTTATTTTATTCAGTTTACTTTCATGATTCAAAACAGCGAGTTTATTTCGGTAATATTTAAAATAGGTTAAGTAAATTTCAATGTTGCTTGCTGCATGAACCTTATTCATTGAAACTTGCTATACAACCATTGTGTCACAAAATTTATGACGCTAGATTTTTATGTCTAAAAACCTATCTTAATGCCCTTCATAATTTTATCTTGTTAAATATTTATACATTAAACCTATAAACGATTCTTATTATTCTTTAACATGTATTACCTTTCACTAATCTACTTTTGTATCATATCCAACATTGATTAAGAGTTATTTTATTTCTTCTATTGATTTTTCCTTATTGTTGCATTCGGAAACGGTTACTTACAAGCGGCTTGGGAGGCATCGGTAAGATAATTAGTTTTATCTTCACAAGGGTTTAATGTAAGAATGTACGCAAAAGGAGTTCATTAAAACAGGATATGTTATGTATGATTGATTAAATCTGTTTAGTTTATAAATTAAAACAATTGAATAAGCCCAGACAAGCCAATCACTGATGGGTTATCATATACCTAATCCTTATTGATGACCAAAATAAATTTCAAAATAGCCGTGAATATGTTGCAGATAGGATGTACCTCTCGTTCACTTTTTCAAATGTCTAGATTCTAAAAATGGGTATTATGTTTTCAATGACTCGGGAACTTTAAACAGTTCATATGAGAAATAAATGAAAAATTTCGAATTCCTGAACTTCATACTTTACATACACTGCTGTTTTGCTTTGAGCAGCAAACTGAGGGTGGTATTTGACAAGCATTTCCAAAATAAATAGACACTAATAATCTGGTAACGTATTTGCTCAACCTTCATTTTCATTGTGATAACTACTAAGACGTCTACAGTGTTACTATGATCACATTAGGGTTAAGTATGGATTTAATGCCCATAATAACCGAATTATTGTAATCCATAGCTGAGTGTCAACAATAAGCTTACATAAGGGTTCAGCTTTACATTGTAAAATATTCCTCAGTTGTGCTGTAAAGAAATACCTTAACTGACTTTCTGTATTATGACTGACGTCAAAAGGATTGTTCCTCTTTATTTGTCTAAATAAAATATCGATTCCGGATACTAAGGGGTACTGTAACGGGGCTGAGTAACTGATTATAGCAACTGATGAAGCTAATGTAATCAAAAACTGAGTAATTACATCAACAAGACCACTAATAAACTAATAAAAGCAGGGCAATTAATAAAACAAAACTAATAGTAAATAAAATCTAATAAACTTGTACTCCGTCAATTTTATGGTATACCGAAATCCCGTAAACCGAGAATTTTACTAAGATCGTTACCTCACTTCCAAAAAATCCCACATGCGATCTATGGAGAGATACTTCAGAAACATTTAAACAGCTAATGGAGTTATCTGATTTCCTAAGAAAGTATATAATTCTATTTTTCGATACGGTCGAATATATTCAAATTCTTTGTTGTTATACCCTTAATTCTGTCAGTTGAACTAAAGTTATAGAAAACACTTTATCCCTGATCCTGATAAAGAATACAAATATTTTAAAACAAACCAAGCTTTGCAGTTAAGGTGGTGACATTTAGGTGTAGATTTTCAAATTTAATAATCTTATAAATAAAACCTAATCGCAAGGTAATATATGGTCACAGAAAGTATACTTGTTGCTTCATACATTGCGAGTAGTTTATTTTAATGGAAACTACATCAGATTATGTTGTTAAATGGTGATGCCAACCATTTCGAATTCTACTTACCAGAAGGCGTTGTTTATATTACTCGTTATGTTAGAATAGTTGACATTTTAGCCAAAAATATGATTATTTAATGTTCCTAAGGCAGGAACCTAAATGGAGTTATCTCAACTAGATATTTTTATAAATCACTGTCCCGATTTCCAGTAAATGCCTATTTTATGAAAACCTTAGATTATACACTAATTTTTAGTCACTAAGATTCGTAATGCGATTATTAATAAATTAAACAGTAGTTTTTATGAGACATGAATTTTGTTTACCCTCAGTAAAAAGCTTGTCTGCAAACAGTTTTTACTCAGTTTATAAATTATCTCACGCAAAGTTAATTAGCACACCATCACTGATTTTACTCAATGGTCTATAGTTAAAATGTATAATGAATTCATTTTAAAAAAATGGAAATAACATACAACAGGTAATGGAAAGGTTTACACAAAACCATTTGAACATCAAATATTTGATATCATTGTATGTAATGAAATAACTTTTCTTTGAAAGGATAATCAAAATAGATTACTCTGTAGATAAGAGATAACTTTCAAACCTTTTCTTTTAATAAAGGAAAGCTAATATTAAGAAATTCATAGTAACGAAAAATAAAAATGCTGTGTCATTAAATAACGATATAATCCGTTGGTTATTCTGTTAAACTAACCAACGCTTTTCATAGAAACTTGTAAAATAACGATTATTTAACTGTAAGGCTATTTGAGTAGTAGATATTATTTTGAAACAGTTAAAAAATGATTAGAATAAATGCCAAGTATTGACACACAGTTTAAGTTTTGTTAATCAAGATTTTCTTACGATATAAACCACTAAATTACATTTAACATTTTCAATGAATACTATGACAAGTAATCAGTTAAGCTGATTCATACATTCATCACATGGATTTATTTAGAATAAGCATTTTGAAATTCTTCTAATACTTGAAAAAATTTTTTATTCACACGTGATCAATAATTGACGGAAACTCCAGGAGAATATCTCTGAAGTTAAGAAATATTGATAAATGTGGGGGAACCATTTACTCATGCCTACAACTTTCAACAAAAATTGGTTTATTGATGATTTCTCCTATTTATTTGTTGCTTTTGTGGTTAGAAACCGGTTGAAATTAGTTTCCTTATTAATTCATTAAGAATAAACTTCGCCGGTAGGATTTGATTATGAAGGATGACAGATAGAATTCACTCATCGATTCGTAAAACAAAAAACAATTACAAGGGTAGAATGACCCAGTACATTTTAGATTTACCATATAAAACAATGAATAAATCAAGCTTAAAAAGAATCACATTCATTTTAAAGATGATGGTTTATTTTTAAAGAGCTACAATAAATGTTAATGGCAATAATGGAACCTAATTATTCGCAACATATCATAAGGGCAAGCAAATCTACATGAGTCCCCGAACCACTTTTTTTCTTAGGACCAAGGAGAACGGTTATTTATTGTCTGAATAAATAAGTAGTACATCAGAGTCCTTCTGATTTGAAGTCTCCAGTTTATACGTCTAAGTAAGCATGATTGGGATCATCATTTGAAACTAGTAGCCGGAGTCTCTTCATAGATGAATTCTAATGAGTATTAAAGTCACTTGAGGACACCCTCGGAAACGCTTACAAATAAAGATTTGGTTCGAAAATAAATGGAAAACCACCAAAAAAGTATGTGTGAGAAATATTATAGATAATATGTTACTTGATACAAATTCAAATAATTTTGCAACCAGTTAGCAAATCTGTATTTTTTGAAGTGATGTGTTCTCTTAGCCATATGATTTATTTGAAAAACATTCACTGATATCTACATGAAGTAGGGGCTAAAAATGTTTATCAGAACGACAATGAATGCTTCCACTAAAATCACTGAGCTCTGATAACACACTACCACCAAGAGCATTCAATTAAACTCCAAATATTCTCCATAATTTCATATCTTTAATTCTTTAGTAAAATAATGCAATGCTAATTTATTAGTCAGTCAGTCAGTCAGTAACAACGTAGAACTTCGTACGTACGTACATCAGTTCGAGTTGCCACACCACATTAGCACAGAGATGCAGTGGTTGATTCAAGTCCCGTAGTGGTAGAGGTAATAAGAGTATAAGCAGTAATCAGGAAAATTAGTGTTTGGAGATGTTATTTAAAGAGTATAATTTATTAAAAGTAAATACAAACGGTTTTAATTAAACATGATTAAACCAACCTCCGTTGATAAAGCCTGATTAGCAGATTTGTCCAGAAGGTACTGAACAACTTCAACATGGTTTTCTTGAGCCGACATGTAAAGAGGTGTAAATCCGTTCTGAATGAAAAGAAATTCAAATCGACTCAATCTTATGCATTAAACAACATTTTATATAAATTACACCGCCTCGGTTTCATTTTTACAAATATTAGGCACTGAAGATCATTAATTGTAGTCCACCAGTGAATAACATATAATTAATTAGCGTAAGGATGTCAATTACTCAATTAAGTATTCTGTTTCTATGTAATAACATCAGCACGAAATCACTGTGTTAGTCCATTTATCCAGTTCTCATAAGATCAATAAATTACACCGCTTACAGACACAAGTGTCACCTGAAATGATTTCCTTTCATAAGTTTCTCCTATTGCTTATATTGTTTTCTTCGATTTCACTTCCTCCTTAAGTCTTTGTAGTTCATCCCCTCTTTTCCCAAACAGTAAGAACAACCAATACGTAGGATAATTTGTTGATGATAATTATTAAAAAACCTTATTTAGTTTACGATTTGTATCCAATCCCAACACAGTAAAATATCAGAAACACTAAAAACATAAAGAAAACTCATTTTTCATTGGCTTGCTATCTTTGATACACAATTATCTGTTACAGCTAACAAACAGGAAGTAATCTCTGAATTCCAATTGTTTCTATATCACAACTAAATGGAAGAATAAGCATCAAAGTGTTCACTGTTGAAAAACATACTTTGCATATGCAGCATGATTTGAGTGTAATGCTAAGGATCTGGGAGATGATGATTATTTTGCTTCTTAAGGGGTGGAGGCGATGTCATAGTGACTAAGAAATGAAGAGTGGTCTTGGTTGAATGGCTTGCAAGTAATCTCTAATATAGTAATGATTGAACAGAAATTTTGAAAATCTGGCTACCAGCTAATGTGATGTACAAAAATGGAGCATTTGAATAGCGTGGGAAACCTTTTTACGCTTAGACGACGCTTTGTAGACTGTAAATATCCAAGGCAAAGTATATAAAATGTTAAAAATCGGCAGTTAGTGATCCAGTGTCTACGTTAGATGGGTTTATGCGTATCAAACTTGTATTAAATAATCATCTTTTGATATCTGAGCATTTCTTTTGAACTTATGATCTTGTTTTGCACTTCGATATACTTCTTTTAAGTGTTCTTTTCAGTTAGAAAATTAGCATCCTGAATTAATGCATATTTGTCTACTGGATCTATTTGTGATAAGTAGATGTATTTGGTCATTACTCTGTGTTAAATAAATGGAGTTTATTGACCAATTTTAGTATATGCCGGGTAACATATAGTCTTACACTGACGGTTCGAATCTTAGTGGTGGTTCTCCACGTCACAAAACAGGTGAAGTATTGTAAGACATTCTATTCATAAAATCCTTGAAATTGTGTTGTGTAAAAGAAATGATACTAAATGTCTCTTTCTTCCTATTTTAAGAAGTTGTTGTTCGTCATTTTTCAAACTTTTTCAAAGTTATGTCACAGAAGAAAATGATCATTTTTGGTTAATTTGAGTGTGATTCGAATTACTTAAGTTCTCAACAACCCCCACAAGTCCCAATTGGCCTAACTGTGTTTCATTAATAAAGTTATTACCATAAAAACTACCGTCAGTATGATAAACACAGAAGCGAATAGGCTATGTTCTACAAATACTAGCCATACCACTGTCTTTAAAAAAATTAGTCTCTCTAGATCATACAAAGAGAATACTACATGATAGATTAACACAATATATTTCGAACTGTCTGACTAAAAATATACCTTTTAAGACACTTAAAGTTAAAAATTACTCTTTTTGTTATATCCTGACGAGAATATTGAATGGTAACTGTTGGGATCCATTTATGAACAGTTACTATACATATATTTTTGTTGTATAATTTTTAATTAATGAAACTATTCGAATTCATGTTTCTCTTATTATCAGCGTTATTTTGACCCATAGACTATTATTATATGGTTTACCGTTCTGCAGTTATACCCGGTCTATTGATTACAGTCTCCCACATTCACAGCCACTTTTGGCTAGATCTTGTACAAATGTTGTTTGCCACTTTGTGGTGTGATGTGGTCTGTTTGGTTTGCATATAAACCCAATATGTTTGAAACACATGATTCATATCTCAGAGGCTGAGATTTATGTTCTGGACTCAACAGGCAGGGCTAGGCAGGAAGAAGGACCGATAAGTACTTTAGACTGCTCGTACGGGTTTACGCGTCATTGGTCCGGTCGATAAATCACTGTTCTCTAATTAGAAGTATCATTATGTTATATATTAATTGAGCACAAAGCCACAAGTTACAACAGTTTTGTAATTACATAAAAACACAGTTATGATTTTCAGATACTTATTCAATGAATGACATAAGTTATTTACCTTCAGCTTTAAAATATAAAGACCTTTAAAAAGAAAGTCTGTCATCTAAGGCTATAATATACATTAATAACAAGATTACCCAACTTTGCATGAGGCTGGGATATTTCAAGATTTATAAAGAAGATGTGTCCCGACATGCACTTTTGAATGGAACTAGCCTATCAAGCATAAAAGCTAACCCTGGGTACTTAAAACAAATTAAATACATATCCTCTGATGACCTACTGAAGTAAATATTTTACGTACTGCTACCATATAAAGCCGCATTTAAACTATTTTACTGAACTTCTTACTTGAGACTGCGCATTTATATCAGCCCCATGGTCAACTAATAATTTTACGATCTCTAGATGTCCTGCAAGGCTAGCAATATGTAAAGCAGAGTTGCCTTTTCTTGTGATCATATAAACTGACGCGCCATGTGATAATAATTCCTTTACAACGTCAGTTCGGCCTTCTTTACACGCTAAGTGTAGCGCATTCAGTCCGTTCTGTAAAAAATAGAAATACAAAAGATAAATATGAAGGTTAAAAGTCTGATAATGAGAATAAAATACATACAAAACATTTTATGGTCAATGCTATTCTACTGTTTCAAGATGACACGTTAGTGCTGGTTATTCACACCATAGAGGTAATATTTACCAACCTCAATGTGGCAACACAAATAATGTGGGGATTTATATCGACTTATCAGAATTAACGAACATCATTTGCTTGTTAACTCTTTCTTTTAATTGCTTGGACATTCTGACCAAATAAACGAATTGAAGAACTAATATTCTGAGGTTATGATTGGATTTTTTATGAAAACCTTATTAAACTGTTTTTCTACTTATTTTTCTTCGTATTATTGTGTGCTGTTTCTTTTCTATCAAACCTAAGGTTGTAAAATAGAGGTTTCAAAGTAACTGGGGTGAAATGTTTCATACATGCTACATACGATATTCAGGTCATACCAAATAAAGGATTTGAAGATAGTTTTCACTGAAAACTAATGTCAAAAGAACAGCTGAAAACTGGGAGGCACTAATTATTGCCTTATTCTGGTTTGTGGCATCTCAGTAGTGTGATCAATGCATTCAAAACAAAATACCCTAAGTGAAGTATCAGAGAGGAGTGCATTACTATATAACTATTCAGTCAGGATTCAGTGGTTGAAAGGTTCCAAGCTCTAGATATATAACACATCATTGACATTTTTTTCTCACTTCTGGTTTGGCTGGTTTATATGACTCATCATTCTATGAAGATTGTCTAATATTCATTTTAAAGTAATTCATTGGTGAACAAAGGGGTAACAAAAAATTCAGTTTTCAGCTTGAATTCTAAGTGAATAAAATGTAATCAAAACAATTTCCTTATATTCATTAATACAAAAGTCAAACCAGAAACCATATAATCAATGAGACAAAAAATATAGCTCTAAATTTAGCTTCCGTAATTTCAAAGTATAAAAAACATAAGAAACATTTATATAAGCATATATGCTTATCCTTACGTCGCTATGGTAATAGTTTGAAAGTCATGATTTTCTAACCAATAAAAAGTTTTAAACAGAGATAATGTTTGAGTTTCAGAAATAAGGAAGGTTGTTTGATTCATTTTGAAGCATATTTTTTCAAAATATTTCTCTATGCCAAAAGATCTATTTCTCAGCAGGTAGCATAAACCAAAAGACACCATAAACACTCAACATAGCCAGTCTATTGAAACGTCTCCGTATTGGTAGCTAATTTATTTCTGTAAACATATACCGTTTGAAACTCTAAAATTCATGACTAAGCTGTAAATGTTTCGACTAAGTTCGAAAAGGGCATTCCAACTACAACTACTTTTGACTGATTAGGTTAATCAAGTTTTACAGGTTTTACAGTAGACGTTGCATATACTGTTTAATTCCACAGGCAATAGTTTCCGATTGTAACCTCAAAATTTCTCTCTCCTAGCTAATTACTAATAAACATATGATTATTATTTAATAAGGTTTGCGGAATTTATATCAAATCTCACATTGTTACTGTCCTGTCAAAGACAGGAACTACCGGATTTCCAATAAGCAGCTCAATGATTTTGCGCTTTCCACAATATCTGAATATCTTGCTCTCGATATCGCATGGGACTGTGGGTACTTGTTTGCGAGGAGTCGTGACTACTGATTTATAATCACTCATTCTTCATTTGTCTACAATCCGTGATTAAAATGTGCCTTCCGGAATAGAAATTTTTTAAAAAGTTAGTCAATCTAAAACTTAGATTCTGAGCTTGTAGCTATCAGTGTTTAGACTCGATGGATGGAGCCTAGTAAGCTAAACAGATAAGCAGAATACACTGACTTTGAAGATTATAATTACCTTAGTTGTCAATTTTATAGTTATCGACACATAGACAGCTTTATCATAGAGATACTTGTCTGTTAAGATTCTTCCACTGATGAGTACATCAGAGAGAATCAGAGTACGTTTACTTTACTCTCATTATAACAATTTCTGAAGTACCTAATCTTGTGTGTTTAAGTAAGTGATTCGCCACTTTTTCCTTATATTGGTATGTCTCATATTTCCAAGAACTGTATACCACCAAATAAGCTATGCATTCATCACTCTTAAATATAATATATAGTGGTATTTTTTCTAAATTATTCCATTTCGTCCTGTTTCATGCGACTTTGCCCAACAAATTGAATGAATACCTTTGTATATCTGGCTCAATCCTCATAAGAAATTCCCTTCTTGAAACGTGAATTCAAACTGCCTTCTGAACCGATTTGTTTTCTTTGTGATTTAATGAAGTCGTTGAAAAAACAAGTATGTTTATCTGTAGTGAATTTACAAAGTCTTAATTAAACACTTTGGGGTTAATAAAACCAAAGGTTTTATTGACTTTTAATCCTTAGAAATTTTTTTCTATTGAGATGGGTTGTGTTTTTTCATTTAATGAAATTCGTCAGTTTATAGGTTCATTCTACGGCCGCTTCATTTGGTCGCGCCACTCGCCTGATTTTATTTGTACATTTAGAATAAGCCGAAAACTCTTTAAAAGTATTTTTAAGGGTTCATACCAAAATAATAATCCACTAAAATCAAAAGGTGAACTTGAATATAGCCTTAGGTCATTTTTGAAAAATTCTGGCAACTTAAAGCTAGCACAATAAATTGCCTTCCTAATCAGACTGCAAAGCACTTGCCATTAAAATGGCTGTCACGATTTTTCGTTTCTTAGAAGAACCGACTTCAAAATATGAATATTTATTCAGTTTCAGTCACTAGCAGCTAGTTTGAAGAACGGTCCACATATTACCAAAAACAGGTTTCTTATGTTTGAATATTGTTTTAATCACTAGTACATACCATCTGGAGAACCACTAAATTCTTATAAATAGGTCAAAAAATGATTCTGATTCTAAACATGGCTTAGACTGAATGTGTTGCCATGGTTATGTTATGAGATGATCCTTATCATTCACTAGAAGAATCGATTTGTGTCATAATGTTTTATAAGTTAACCGTACAATCGAATTAAAAAGAAGAAAAGGATTTTCTGTATCCATTGTTTTTTTTCGTAAATTTTCTTTAAGGCCGGAAATAATTGCTTTTCAGTCCGCCCTTTAAGAAGGGCAGATGGCAATTGAAGAATACCTACAGCATTAGAAACAAAAAATGCATTATAGGTGATTTCGAACTATTCATGAGTCCGGTAGTAATGTACCCGCCACAGTTTTATTGTTTCGAACTCAGGTTGGCTGGTTATTAGTCTTTTTATAATTATTATATTTATCTACTAAATAAACTGTCATAGCATTGTGGGAATTCCATAAATTCTACTGGTTAATAATCTTTTATCTGTATACTGAAGATATGAAAGGAACATAAAGAAACTTTGGGTAGTCAAGTTACATTTAGAAATAGAGATCACAGATTATCTATAAATTCGCATAATATTTTATTACGTATATCGAAAATTCCTATACTTTTTGGTGTATGATTCATATTGTTCGATGACTTCGTTTTAAAATGTTGGTTAGTAGATATGATTATTTTAACAAACGAAACAGTTTTCGAAAGTAGTAAACGCCTTACGTGTGGTTATTTTTTCATATCAGTTTTTAAGTTTTGAGAACATTTTGAATATTTTATTTTTTGTAAGATAGTTCTTTTTATTAATCCGACTGGTTTTTACTAAAACGTTATGATTAAGAAACTCCGCCTGGAGACCCTCCGAGGGCTACTGCCGGCCCCAAGCCCGAGTAAAGGAGGAGGGTTGGTCATGGGGTTAGCGACCCCATACCGTAGAAAACTAACTCGCTAAAAAAACACTAACTAGAAAAAATTATTCAAACCTTTTAAGCTCTGCCCTGGGAGTCAGAAGGTTTTCATTTAGAAGAATTATGACGCCTCATGATGAAAGCCGAATTCCTTCGGAAGTTACGAGGTCGATTCCCCTTCTGACAACCAGAGCGACCATTTATTTAGGTACATGGAATGTTCCTACAATGTGGGACACCGGAAGAGCCTTCCAAATTGCTGCAGAAATGAGAAGATACAACCTAGAGGTACTTGGGATCAGTGAAACACATTGGACACAAGTTGGACAACAACGACTAAATACAGGAGAGCTCCTGTTATACTCCGGCCATGAAGAAGAAAATGCACTACATACACAAGGAGTTGCATTGATGCTGTCCAAACAAGCGCAAAATGCGCTTATAGGATGGGAATCTCGTGGACCAACGATCATCAAAGCCTCGTTCAAAACAAAGAAAGAGGGTATTTCAATGAACATCATCCAATGCTATGCGCCTACCAACGACTACAATGAAGACGCTAAAGATCAATTCTACAATAGGCTGCAGTCAATCGTCGAGAAGTGCCCAACAAAGGATCTGACCATTCTGATGGGAGATTTCAATGCCAAGGTTGGAACGGAGAACACTGGATATGAAGACATCATGGGACGACACGGACTGGGAGAAACAAACAAAAATGGTGAGAGATTTGCAAATCTATGTGCCTTCAATAAGCTGGTCATAGGCGGCACCATATTCCCACGTAAACGCATACACAAAACCACATGGACTTCACCGGATCACTCTACACAAAACCAAATCGACCATATTTGCATCAATAAAACCTTCAGGAGGACTATAGAGGACGTGAGAACCAAGAGAGGAGCTAATATAGCATCAGATCATCACTTGCTGGTCGCCAAGATGAAATTGAAACTCAAGAAACACTGGACAACGGGTGGACAATATCTCAAAAGTTCAATACGGCCCTCAACAAATTCAAGATAGTCCTCAGCAACAAGTTCCAGACCTTTCATGATCTACTCAATGGAGAAGGAACTACTGTGGAGAGCAACTGGAAGGGGATCAAAGAGGCAATCACTTCAACATGTCATGAGGTCCTGGGTCACTAGAAGCATCATCACAAGGAATGGATCACTGTTGATACACTGGATAAGATTCAAGAAAGACGGAACAAGAAGACAGCAATCAATACCAGTCGAACAAGAGCAGAAAAAGCCAAGGCACAAGCTGAATACACAGAAGTAAACAAACAAGTGAAGAGGAGCATCAGAACCGACAAACGTAAATATGTGGAAGATTTAGCAACGACGGCGGAAAAGGCTGCAAGAGAAGGAAACATGAGACAATTGTATGGCACAACAAAGAAACTCTCTGGAAATCGCCACAAACCAGAACGACCAGTGAAAAGCAAGGAAGGCGAGGTAATCACCAACATTGAAGAGCAACAAAACAGGTGGGTAGAACACTTCAAATAACTCTTGAATCGACCAGCTCCACTGAACCCACCCAACATCGAAGCAGCACCCACGGACCTCCCAATCGATGCTGGCCCACGAACAGTTGAAGAAATCAGCATGGCCATCAGACAAATCAAGAGTGGCAAAGCAGCAGGACCGGACAAAATCCCAGCAGAGGCACTAAAAGCAGACGTAGCGGCAACTGCAAGGATACTCCACATTCTCTTCAATAAGATTTGGGATGAGGAACAAGTACCAAAAGACTGGAAAGAAGGACTCCTGATCAAAATACCGAAGAAAGGCGATCTCAGCAAGTGTGATAAATACAGGAGCATCATTCTTCTCTCAATACCTGGAAAAGTCTTCAACAGGGTACTGTTAAACAGGATGAAGGACTGCGTAGACGCCCAACTTCGTGACCAACAGGCAGGATTCCGTAAGGATAGATCCTGTACAGACCAAATCGCAACTCTACGGATCATTGTGGAACAATCAATTGAATGGAATTCATCACTCTACATCAACTTCATTGACTACGAAAAGGCATTTGATAGCATGGACAGAACAACACTATGGAAACTTCTTCGACACTACGGCGTGCCTCAGAAGATAGTCAATATCATACAGATTTCATATGATGGATTACACTGCAAAATTGTGCATGGAGGACAGTTGACAAAGTTGTTCGAAGTGAAAACCGGTGCTAGGCATAGTTACTTACTCTCACCCTTTCTCTTTCTCCTGGTGATCGACTAGATCATGAAGACGTCAGCATCTGAAGTTAAGCACGGGATATAATGGATATCTAGGATGTAGTTGGATGATCTAGACTTCGCAGATGATCTGGCTCTTCTATCCCAAACGCAACAACAGATGCAGAAGACGAACAGTGTGGCAGCAGCCTCAGCAAGAGTAGGTTTCAATATACACAAAGGGAAAAGCAAGATTCTCCAATACAACACAGCATGCACCAATCCAATCTAAATTGACGGAGAAGATTTGGAAGATGTAAAAACCTTTACGTATTTGGGCAGCATCATTGATGAACAGAGTGGATCTGATGCAGATGTGAAGGCGCCGATCGGCAAAGCAAGAGCAGCATATTTACAACTGAGGAACATCTGGAACTCAAAGCAACTGTCAACCAACACCAAGGTCAGGATTTTCAATACAAATGTCAAGACAGTTCTACTGTATGGGGCAGAAACCTGGAGAACTACAAAAGCCATCATCCAGAAAATACAGGTGTTTATTAACAATTGTCTACGCAAAATACTTCAGATCCATTGGCCGGACACTATAAGCAACAACGTACTGTGGGAGAGAACAAACCAGATCCCAGTGGAGAAAGAAGTCAGGAAGAAGCGCTGGAAGTGGATAGGACACACATTGAGGAAAGCACCCAACTGCGTCTCAGGACAAGCCCTCACATGGAATCCCGAAGGTCAAAGGAAAAGAGGGAGACCAAGGAACAGATTACGCCGAGAAATGGAGATAGACATGAGAAAAATGAACAAGAATTGGATGGAACTAGAAAAGAAGGCCCAGGACAGAGTGGGTTAAAGAATGCTGGTCAGCGGCCTATGCTCCATTGGGAGTAACAGGCGTAAGTAAGTAAGTAATGATTAAGAGCTGTTTACATAATATCGGTTAACAACAAAGTAAGATCTCATGTGCACCTTAAGCAATTGAAAAAGTAGTATAATATCTGCATTATAGGAGACTGAAATAATGAATTGTCCAAATATATGGATTTCCATAATAATGAACCGAAGTATTATATCTTGATTACTGGTCACATCAGTCGCTAGAAAAAGCACCTGATGAGAGGTGGTGGGTTAATTAATTGCTGTATTATTAAAAAGGTACTCATAATATATAAACAGTTTCATTGCTGTTGTTTCCTGTGCAAGCAGGTTAGATGATTTTAGATTAAATATAACTCTACTTATCATAATACAATCTTTGATATATCAAAGAATTTTCACGTTGAATTCTTATATATCTCCTGGATAAAACGTCCCTTACAACCCACCGTAACTAACGATATATTCTTTTTCTATGGTAGAAGCTATAATCAATATGAACAATTTCCTTAATTAGCGACCTATTGGACCTTAGTTTAAAACTTTGTAATAAGTGTCAAACCATAAACAAGTATGTTATGCTTGTCATCTACCTATAGGTAGTGGTTCTTTCAGATCATATATGTTGAACCCACTCAGTGAGTAACGTTTTTGAAAACAAGTCAGTTACTTTGAGGATCTCACTTTACATAATGTTTTAGCTTTCAGTTTTCATAGGAATACAATGTTTTTTTGCAGATCAGGAAATCTTAGCTAGACCATCATCAAAAACCTGAAATTATTGGACAGCCGTTTCCTTCTAGTATGAAACTCCTCTGTAGTGCACACCTTCGATCTTGCATTCACGGACTGAACCTAAAACCATCGGTCTCGTACGTAGACTATGAAAATATAAAAATTGTTGACCAAATTTTGAACATTTTTTGGGTTACGTTTCTGTTGATCATCTTTGAAGTTGTGCCTCAAGCTGTAATCTACCGATTTAAATACTTTTTATGAAGACTGTCATTATTTTCAGACGCTCTTTGCGCTATCGACAGACCTATTTTATGAATCACGAACTATTATGCATCTCACTATTCTACTAATTAGATTTATTTCATCTAGTAAGAATCTTATAGGGTAGCTGAAAAATGTAGAAATTTCAAGTTCACTGACCCACTGTATATTTTCTTTATACTAATACCATGTCAGAGTTAAAAGAAATGTAAATCTAGGGTACATAGTCTCTGTATAAAATTCATTCATCGAATTCATAGAAAATCTCACATTATATGAATTCATTGAGCACGAGCTAAGTTATTGGTTTAAAAAAATCCTGGATTATAAAGATGTTGAATAAATACACTCATTCTAAGCGCGTTTGTACTTTTGCTTGTTAAAAAATTCTATTTCAATTTAGTGTCTTGTAACGGAGTGTTTTTATTATATAATTTAATGTTCGGATGTAAAAGTAACTCATATAACATATTTTGTGAAAATGTGTTGTGTTAGTAATACTGTTTCATAGTAAACAATTAAGAAGAGTAACACTGATTTTATAGCTTTGCGAGTCAAATATGATTTTAAAAAATCATTTGACATGTGAAAAAGATGAAATTAATATCCAAGTGAATGCATCGATAATGAAATTCCTTGACTTAGTAAACGGTAAACTTATCAGTTTACAACTTGTAATTTATTTGTGGCATATTAGGTCCCTCGTTAAAACCAGGTCAACGCTAAAACTAATGTTTTTATTGCACACCCCTTGATCTACAAAGCATCACTCGAATAAACTGATTTAGATCAAAACTTACTTGCGTTCTAAAACGTTTACTTTCAGTTTTCACCTCTTCTCATTTTCACTATTGTTTTAGAAATTAGCACATACTGAAGTCAAATTGCATCAATTAATAGTGTCCATTTAGTTCTCTGGGTACCTAATTGATTATGAGATTTAGTTGATGGACTGGATTATCCTTATAAACATATAACTCTTCAGGGAGAAGTTCACCTATCTAATTTATTGAAAGCGGTTGAAAAATGCCAGAAAGCTTAATCTATTTTAAGAAAGATTAGCCTTCATTTACAACTTAGCGTTTACATTTTCTGCATAACCCTCCTGAAACTTACAAGTACAGCCGTGATGGAAAGTTAGTAAGAAAATCTTCCACGTAAATACTGTATTCCAAGTGTTAGCTGGAAAATAATGGGTTCACAAAACATATTAGACAACAATTTTATTTGTTATTTAACGAATTATCAAATAAAAATTCATTGAAAACAACTCACAGTATTCGAGATGTTGATGTCTGTTATTTTGTTGAGTAATTCACGTAATTTCTCCAAATTTCCTGCCCTAGCTGCTCGTAGAAAACTTTGATTAATATCACCCTGTTTTGACTTTAGGTTACAATTTAGGTGTTTTATTTTTAGATCGTAATATGATCCATCATAAATACCAGGTTCAATGATTTGTTGATCATCATTTATGTTGTCATTTTCGTTAAATATATTAGCAGTCATTGTTTCGATTTCGTTTTCATTTGATGTAGAGTATTGAGATAATGATATTGATATACATTCATTCCAGGTTTTCATTTTTAATTTTCGTAGAGTGGTTACCGATGTTTGGTCATGATACCATGATTGGATTTGAAGGGATGTTGAAGATGATGAATGAAGCGTTCCGATTGAGAGCGATGATGATATGTCAATGGGTCGAAATGACGATTTGAAATAAAGTTTAGAAGGAAAATGTCTACAATTAGTACATAATCTGGATTTAGAAAAACAAGCACCCAAAGAACAACTATAACGTTTCCTCTTTTTATGCCTGACCATGTTTTATTTTTTGAATGCTATGAAACGACAAAATCGTTATCCTCTTGGCAGGCTGTCAGATTTCATCCATCGGCTACTATTTTGCTTTTGTACTGATAGGCAGATGCTTGATTATTTGTGTGTGATCATTGATCTTGGTCTTGTGACATGAGTATTTAAACTAACCTATGGTGCATGTATCTCAATGTGTTTTCAACCACTCTAAATTGTATTTTATTCATTGTGCACAGGTGGCTTCTGTTTCTTATATGCTGTTACATCTTTTCACTAGAAAAAGCACACTTACACGTAAGTAACTTGCTTTTAAAAAATGAATGTTAATGTCACCAATTAAAAACTTTTATTAAATTAGCTAACTGGTGATAAATTGAAAATAACTTGAGTAGTATGTTCTTAAGCATCAAATTATAATGTCTTGCAATTTTTTGAGAAAACACTGCTGTTTTTTAGTGAAACAATGTTTTCGTCTCTTAAGCCTTATGTACTGATCTTCCAGCTGGTATCTAGGATTTTTCTTGGATCTATACATTTAGCGAAACATTTAAAAATGTTTTTGTATCAGATAATTTCGTAGACATAGTTCCGTTTGTTAGCTTGAAAAGATTTAGAGGAACAGTTTGAGAAGTATATCGTCCGTTCATTTTCCTTCCTTAGATTCTCTTCAACCTCTTACAACCAGTGATTTATCAAAATTACAAAATGTGTATAAAACACTTTAAGAAATGCTTTTAACCTAAGCGAGTGTCAAAATGGTGTTGTGAACATTCAGACAAAGTTAAATGAATAAAATGTTGGAAACAAATCATATGCTATAGATTATTCTGGAATACTGATCAAAATGCTAGCGAAAGACCATATGGTTAGAATCAAGTAGACGACGGGAAAATTCACGAGAGAAAATAAATTTTCGTAATTTCGCTCAGTATTGCTTTTCTTTACTGTAAGTTAAAAACTCACAAGAAATGTGATAATTGCAACTTTGATCCGTGGGAAATTTGGGATCAGGTTAATTTTGAGTGTTGACCAGATGTAAAATTTCAATGTCTCTACCACAAAATTAAGTATGATTTAGCTTAAATGAATTCCTAATCAATGAATTTTTTAATGGTTGTACACAAATCTACGTTAATATAAGACTAAGTTATTTTTATATTTACATGTTTCTTTAGTCATACTAAAAGATTCTTATCCTATTTTAGAAAATGAATACGTCAATTTGATAACATTATTACAAAATGACGTCTAAGGTGCTTATGATACAAATCGGTAGTGAGTGTAGGAAATCAATGTACAAGGTTTAATCTTGTTCCATTCATGCCTTGTCATATGAATGTATTACTCTAATGACTCTCTATAATAGATTGTATATTGTGGTTTGTTAAACAAAGTGATTCAAGAGTAATGTAATCGTTTTTTAAAAGCACGTCAAATTACTCAAATGACAAGAAATACAATAAAACAAATAAAAGTATAATTGCTTTTCTTCCATTTCAATTTTGCACAAAAAATGACCTGTAATATTTCAATAACAAAGTGTATTAATATAGGGAAATTTATGTGTCGTGTAGATTGCTTAAAATGATATGAAACTTTTGCTAACGAACGAACGGTTATCAGAGCTCGATTGTCAGTGCACACACATGTATATATTGGCACACTTGCGTCTCCGCGTTTTCATAACATAGGCAAGATAGTCTGATAAGCAAAACATTGGAACCAGATTTGTTATTGAAAAATTATTCAGCCTGTGATTTATTTATGACTTAAAAATAACACTATCGCTGATTATTACAAGTAAAAACTGTTTGGGATACCAATCAGTGTTTACTTGTTAAAACCCATTTTGGTCATTTGGCGTGTATAGAATAGTAGCGAGAGTAAAAATAAATGTATCTTTTTGACAAAATGTATCAATAAGAATAGTAAAAATAAAAATACTAAAATAAATGATTGTAAATAGATAAGTATCATCACTTTTTTACATTTGACATATCCATGATATACACCGTTCTCACTCAACGAAGATTATGAACTTAGGGCAATTTAATCAACTACCCAGTGAAGAACAATGGGTATGAATCTAAGAGATTAAGAGCAACTTGTAATTATTCTTAGGTGATTCATGGAAAACCTAGATATTTACTGATAAACTTATACTACTGTTCAGTAGCTAAAATACTTAGAATAAATTTCTGACTATCTTTTGTATCAATTAGTTGCAAAGAATATCAGTGTTTAATATCTTACACACCTATGTTCAAAGTTTATAATGTAATAACTACTATAAAATTAAGTAATAAATAATGCTCATTTAACTGTAAGCAATGTGACTTGTTAAGTTTCGGTAAAATGCTTTCATGTGATCCCAACCTTAGTGACTTGTGTAATCTTATGCAGAAACTATTGGCTTCACGATAAAGTTGCTAGTATGATATTTCAAGGGTTACCGTTAAGTATTTGGATGCTATTAGTATGGATAAACTTCAGTGAAGTATGTTTTTCTCAGTTGGCTCGATATATAAAATTGCAGTTTCTGGTTTTTGGATGGGCAATGAAGAAACTTCTTGGAAATTATAAGCTTACTATTTACAGAATATCGATATTAATCAACCACATTTACCGATTATATATAGCTAATGTTCTATGGTTGGAGCAAACTATAGCTTTACATGTTATTCTTATGACTGTCAGATTATCAAGTAATTTTTATTAAAATAGACCTAAGACATAATTGAGATGTTAAGTTAGTTACGAGAAGAATGCAAAAAGAATTCATATAATGAAGTTTAAGTGAAGCCTCTCTTAACGGAAAAAACTCCTCATTGAAATGTTATTCATTAAACAAATTATTAAACTAATTTATAATTATTTGTTAAAAGTTGTTTTTTTCCAAATTCATCCGTTCATACTGTTGAACGACCGTTCAGTGCTTTCAGGTTTTCAATGATAGTCTAACATTTATCGATTCATGATCTCAATCAAAGAATTAACAATCTCCACAACCCCACACTGATAAGTTAATTAATTCATTAAATTTAAGTTTCACTAGTAAAAATTCAAAAACCATATAAACTAATTCACCGAGAACAATGTTACACATAATATGATGCTAAGAGAATTTCAAGTTCATATGGCTCTCTCTTGATTGACTTTCTATAAGATAGCCCGAAAGGTATATTCGACATATGCAGTACGTCCAAGTAATCGCTTTCATACATACAGCTTTATTAATATATATCAGGAAATCGAGAATATAATAAACGTAGAAAACCATACGGTACCATCGATTCAAATGAAAAATTTGTTTTCCGCTGGAATGAGAGAGGACCAAATATTTTTTCACTAACGTTAAATCACAATATACTTCATTTTATTTTTCAATTAGAGAATCCCTTAACATACAATTTTATTACTAGTTATCTCACTAATAAATAGGATTAATAAAATCAGGGTTATAAGTTCTTGAAGGTCCATCAGACGACTTCCCTCTCTAATAGTTTATCAAAATGACCTTCCATGTTTGAATTGTCTTGCAATAATAACCAAAATGTTTTAGGGTATAAGCCTGCTCAATTTTTTATAGTATTTGTATTTACATGCCTATCAATACAGTCGAAGAAAATCAGCTGAGGATTAATTGAATTCACTGATTTCATGATAATTGTTTAACTTTAGAAAAAGATTACCTTTCTAACACTACTCTTATCAAGTAAGTCACATATGGTAATCAAGTAGAAACAACTTGTAAGTTAGAATTTATTTATTGATTAATAAGATTGTTCAAAGGAGATTATTATTTAAACGGTGTAAAGAATAGAGGTAAACTATGAGAAGTAAATTTCATTATATTAATTTTAGATTGCCAAAACTATAAGCGCTTAAATAATAAATCTTACCTAACTAAACAATAAAATTAAAACTGAAATAAATTGTTAGATCATTTACAGTGAACTTATTCAGAGCCCTTTTACATGCACCTACATTACTTTATCATCTTTGGTATACATTCAAGCAAAACCATTCTAATTATAGCATAAAGAAATAATATGCTATTTTTCATACTTAATTCTTCATATCTATACGGTCACATCCTAATATAAGAAAACAAAAAATAACCGTAAGATAATACTTTTTTAGTTTTGTCAATTTTTATTTCCTTAAAATTTTCTTTTCTTTTTTAGTTGTTTAGTGGTATGGTCATTAGTGGTTAGAAGTTATTCATGTCCGATGAATGGTCAGTTTTTAGAATGAAGGTTGTAGAGATTGTCACTTAAATTACATTATTACGTGATCTTAAACATGGTCAGGTTGTTTAGTATGAAAAGATAAAATAGTAAGAATCATCACTCCGTTTCATTTGTTTATTTTAGTAAGAATAAAATCATTTGAATCACATACACAATATTAAATTTAATAGCATAGTTACCAAACGGCCTGGGTTTCAACCAGTTTATTACCTATTCCATAACCACTCTCTATTGTGTCGTTTAATCAGTCGGGCATTATCAGTAGGCTAGACGCGAGGAATGTGCTTTAAAAAAAGTACATGAACATCTACT